GTGTTGTAAACGGTGACCTTGGAGAAACGTTCCAGGAATAAAATTATTTGCGGGAGGTATCTATTATTGATTTATCTTGATGGTGCTTTCGATCGATGTGAAAATAAAACAGTATAAAACTTTAAAATATTCAAGATTGCTTGTATTAACAATTGGCAGAGTTTCAATTTTAGCAAAAAACTAATGTATATAATATCACATGTGAGTTGCGTTATAGCCTTAGTGGCAGATGTACGTATTAGACTGGGTAAGCATGTGGGCTTTGACCTTAAAATTTATCGACGCTCAAGCTCCATATAGGTTCATGAGTTTTATGGATAAACACGGAGGGTTATCTCAAAGAGTTTTCTAAATAGCAATGCACATGAATATCACACAATCTCATTCGAATGCATATTTTGCAGTGTTCAACTGAAATGATATTAGAATACACTGCTTAGTTCAGTCGCAGTAAAAGTAGAAACTAATTTCAAACGGATAAGTTGGTATACGTGAAAGATAGGAGTTAGCAAATCCTCGAAAATATGAAGTGTTCAACTGAACTAACTACGACCTGATAAAAAAGCAAATGATGAATGCCGGGAATCGACTTCGAATTTCATTTTCATTTTTTCTTAATTCGCATAGAAGATAGGATTTACTGTTCGATGCAGAAATAACAGTTTGTTGTTTTTGCTTTACCAAAGGCAAAAATTTTACGACGCATATATTGTGATCATGGGTGTCGGCTTAGCATTAGTGTTGAATTAGCTGACGCTACTTTTAATTCTTTTGCATTACGATTCAAAAAATTTAATTAATACTTTTGTATTAGTATTAAATAAGTGTTAGCCTACTGGTAAAACATATATTTTCTACAACAGAACAGTGTTTTTCTATTTTAAGAAAAGATAAATGTTAACATCAGGTTAAAGGCTATTTCATACTAATGCCAAAACATCAAATTAAACTTTTATGTCTAATATAAAATCATCAAATTATTTTCTTAATCTTAATATAAAAGCATCAAATACAGCATTAATCAATTCAACGTTAATGCTAAGCTGGATGCCCTAGTTGTGACAGACATTTGCGTATCATAGGAACTTTAAGAACATTGTATTCAATAAACACTTAAAAATGCAATGAAAACAAGAAATCAGATCATCCTAAAATAATTGCATGGCAAATGAATATCGGTAACAAAGCATGGTCCTGAGGAAAATATCATAAAATAAGACAATGATATCTCTTAATAGTTATCCCCACGTTTCTTGAACTCATTTTTGTTTTACTCACTCGCATGTATGATAATTGATAATAGGGTTCACATTCTCTAATTAAACGGTAGATTTCTGTCATGAGAATGAACTTTTCAGAAACCGCTTTCACAGAAACAGTTATGCATGCAAGTAAGCAAATGCGTAGTTTACTATTATACTTGCCCAAGCAATCGAAATCGTATGCTCAAAACCTCTCAGACTACAAAAATGATTTTCTAAAGTCATCTATTCGAAAGCTATTTATACTAAAAATCAGTAATTACTAGGAAACCACCAGAAAAATGGAATCCATACCTAGATGAGCAGATATGTGTACGAATAATAAAAACCTTCATGTTCCAAACCAATCCTCGCAATTGATGTAATTAATTTAAAAATTCAGAAATCAATAGAAAATGTATGTGTGCACTCAATGTAGATATTCGTGGGGTACAAAATTGAAATGAACGAGTTTCTGCATAAAATTTCTGTAACGTCATACGTTATTAAGGAATCGTGAAAGTCATGAGATGCCTAGTTCGAATTCGAATATAAATTAACATCTGAATAACTACTCACAATTCGAAAATAAATGAAAAACAAAATACGACCATTTATAATTCACGATATAGAAATAGATTTCGATTTTATACATTATAAATTTATAATTTGACGTCACTCCCATTTATAAGTTCGGAATAGATTTAGATTTCCTTTCGTTTTGGGTTTGGTGGGAGGGTGTCGGCGTGGGTGCGAGGAAAGGCGGACATACGCTGGTCTACACACAAGCACAACATAGCAACTTTGGGCGTGGTGAAAGGCGGACATACACGGGTCTACACATGAGTTGTCTAATTCGAATTCGAATTCGATTATAAATGGAGAATGTAGTAATCATTACCACTTCGAATATAAGTGCAAAAAAACAACACCCATGTTAATTTCAGCAAAAATGCGAAAGAAAAACTTGCATTTATAAATTTATAATTTATAAAATCGAAATCTATTTCTGACAGTGGCGTGAAAACATGGAAGCGTTTTTTTATGCATTTATATTCGAAGTCGAATTAGGCAGCTACTCGTGAAAGTAGTCTACATCTACATGTTAAGGGAAGTAGCAACTTTTTCTAGATAGTCAAGTTCAACAAACTCATGTTTAAACTACATACTTTACGTTGATATTCTTAACTTCTCAGTATTTATAAAACTATGCATATTTTAGATGATAGTGCCATTTTTGGTTTCAGAAAACGATGATATAACTATATTTGCGAAAAAGCACAGGTATTTTACTGGTTTTAACATCATTGCAATTTTGAAAAGTACTCATTCGTTATAAAAGTTAATGATAATTTAGAACGTAGTATTTTCTTCTTATTTTGACAATACATGGATGTCTAGTTTGGGAGAATTGAGTAACTCGAATATTAATAAATTTTTCATTGTTTTTCAAGCGTTCAGCAATTACAAAATTACTAATATCTTAGATTTTAAGCAGTCGATTTTAATTATAACAACAGACGAACGCTGCTTTTCTAAAAGAAAGAGTAACGCTCACATCTCCTAAAATTTAATTATAATTTTCCGTAGGATACCATAGCTATTAGAATTGATGATATTTAGAACAAAAAATAGATTCTTTGTTCTAGAAAAAAAACGCTTTGCCACATCTGTACGGAATAACTATTTTAAACGTTGCATTGGCCGATAGCTTCACAAAATGTTTTTGAGTGATGCTCAAAGAATATTCTTTCTGGAGGAGTTAAAACATTGCTGCCTAAAACTTGATCATTGCCGAAATACTTTATAGCTTTCGAGTCACCAAGTAGTTTCATAGTTGAAATAAACGCAATTGATTGAGGTCGGTCTAATTTATGATAAAATCTGGTTGACTATCCAGAATTTTGGAATTCACTAGTAAATTTATGTTACTTTTCCTTCGATAGATTCTGTTGTTATTATTTTCAAAGCCCTTGTAAATTTGGGAATTTACTTTTTTCGGAAATATGGACATACCTAGTATTATCTGAGAGCAAGAAATAAAATGGGATATAGATTTTATGACGATTCACAGCTTCGATCTAAGATTTACTCGCTTTAGAACTTAAATTAGAAACCTGTATGAATAGCTTAACAAGACCTCCATTCTTTCATTAAACAGGGAACGTTATGCGATGTCGTCGAATCTGTGGAAACTGACAAGAGAAATTAGAGAACGCTACCACGCTAATACAAGTTTAATCAGAAAAATAAGAGGATTAGTCCGTGTTTGCATATGCGCTTGAAGACATTTGAGGAAAAAAACGTAAGACTTCTTGATTAATTATTTAGAAAATGCTGCACATCGTAATCACTGAGAAATTTGCCGTTAGTGTTGGTGAATATGTGCAAAGTAGTTAAAATGATCGAGAACACAGTGTTCTTTGTGTTTTTCTAAAAACAGGATATTTAGTAAACAGTATTCTTTGTCGTTTCAAGATTCGTGATGAAATGGTATCGGATAGATTATTGAAGTGCTAGCGGTACAGTCACTTTATATCCTATTTTATTTAGAAAAAATTGCAAATGAATAGCCATTTGTGTGTTGACATATGTTCCTAGGTATTTAACTTTTCTTTTTAAACAATCTATTTCATTGTGATAAAATAACTAGCAACCCTCTCATTGTCTTTTTGGCACATACATTTGTTAAAATATCATTAAAAAAAATGTTAAAGCGTATTGCTTAGGAAAACTATAAATATAAAATTGTCATTTTGTTTGCCTTGGAATTTATATTAAGCAACAAACCTATTAGTAGAACATGTAAAAGCACTTGAAGCAATCAATTTCCAAAGAACTTTGAAATTACAGTAAATAAATACGGAAACATCGGATTCGCATCCGATTGTTACGTGTACTGCAAAAACTGAGTCGATTTATATATGTTGTGAATAATTCTGAGTAAAAAAAAAATTTTTTTGAAAAAATCCCTGTACCCCCCCTCAGGGATGGTCTGGTTAATAATGACAACTTTTTCGATAACTCAGCCATTTCTTCACAGATTGCTTTCATCTTCGAACTCGACTGAGATATTGATGAGATCATTCTGTGTACAAAATTTCATAACAATTGGATGAGGCTTTCAAAAGTTATCGTGTTAACGGCCGGACGGCCGGACACACTGACCGAATCTAGAGTGTACTCATTTTTTTGGAGTACACAAAAAGCTTCAAAATTTTATTGTGTGTTTTGACAGCTTTAATAAACTTCGTGATTTAGAGCAGCAGAAAGATTGTGTAAAATTTCCTCGCACTAAGCTAACACTCTGATCTTCCCTAGACTTGTGAAATTTAAAAAAACCAGCAAACTTCATGTTACTGTTGTATAATGATCTTATCAAACGACGCTTTCAGTATCGTATGGGTGTGCTAGAAATGCTCTGTAAAAATAAGAATCATCTAGGATTCTCTCTTTTTGTCCTGTTTTTGAAAATAGTTTATTTTCTGATTAAAAAAGAAATCATTTAATCCGCATGCTGCATAATTCTGTGGATTCAATTAAAAATTCTTGTGAAAGCATCATTTTGAGTAATAATCCATTGTGATATTTTACCATGAAAAGTAAGTATCAGTAATCTTTCGATTATTCTTTGTGTTCTACATCAATATACTATAGCTTTACGAGATTAATGTTCATCCTAGTTTATATAGTCATATATATTCTGTTTTATTCGATACTTTTATACATAAAATAAAAGAAATTCATTTTGTTTAAAAATCAAGTTCTTCCAGTTGATGATAATGTTTTAACCCATTGATTATATTTTACATTAGCTGTTTCGATAAGATCTTCCATATGACCCGCCAACTAAAGTAAAATAGAGGTCTTTTCTATTCTATTTCGTCACATAAAAATATTTACATGAAAATCTGTTAATAGATCAGTTGATACTTTTTCTTTAAACGCATTAACTTGTGTTTCCCGAAAACGTTCAATTGTTTCATGCACACGATGAATCTAATTTCAAGACAAAAATAAACATGGTCAATCATTTTTTTAAAAGTCAATTGAGTGTGCAACCAACCTTTTCTTCAATTAGAGGTGAACTCGGTGGAAACGATGACCAAAAATGGCGAAGAAGTTCACTTAACGATACATAGATAGTTTGCATTTCTTCTTGAATATTTTGAGGGACAATTTCTAGGAAGAAAAATCTCAAAATGATTGAATTGATTAAACAACAATTTTAATTACGCGATAATGTTTGTGCTGTTGTCCCGTGCATAAGAGCACCACCGGGTGTTAAATCTTTTACAATTTTATGTGCTAAACCTGAATTTAAGGTCTAGTCAAGAAAAAGAGATCGATCAGTTTTTGATTAAAAATTGAAGTCACTTATTACTAATTCTGTATTGACATGCCAGTTAGCCATTTCTTGTTTAAGATTGTTGAAATTTGTTGGTATCTGCTGTACAGATGTTTTTTGTGACCGATCTATGGTTGGTGCACGTAGATATCTATCGGGATTCACTAATTTCAATGTTTGCGTTTCTTCTTGTTGTTCAGTTCGTAAGTCTTCTAAATTGTCACCGGATTTAAACTAAATCAAAAAAAAATGAAATTAGTTCTGATTTATGCGAAACTGCTGTCGCTATTCACATAAAATAATTTATTAGAGCTGAAGTTCTACGAAAATCTACTAAAGCTATTGTATACGATTGAGCCTATCATAAGCGAAACTTGCAAGGAACAACTAGTGATTTTAAATCCTTCGATTATCGCTTTTCTCGCAGATTAAGTCTAAGAAACAGCAATCAAACCATAAAATTTATCTAGAACTGTTGAAGATTAATTTTTATTTTTTAAATAATCTTATCCAGAATTCATCATTCAATCATCTGAAGATTAATCTTAGAGCCCACTCATCCTATAAAATACTGATTACGTTATAGTTATAGTACATATATATATATATATATATATATGTTATGGTAGTTAGTTAATCTTATCTCAGGAGCTCTAGCAATAGAATACAAGAAATAGACCAGATCTATCAGTCTTTACTCAAGAACTACAACTAGCTCTATCATTATGAAAGACATCGATTGATTATGTGTGCCGTTGCGTAGCATTTAAAATCATGAAATAGACAGCGGACACTGATATCTTTCGTTTTACATAAATACGACCACTCGGAATTTGATATAATTAATATTCCTCTATGTTTATTCTGAATAAAATATATAAAGAGTTTCATAGAATAATCTATTAATAGAATCCTAACAAATAATTAAGATAAAATATCCGAAAGAATCATAGACAATATATATTAACGACTGAGAATTTTCTTTCTCTCTTACACATATACACAATTAAAAACAAAAGGATCAATTAACATACCTTTTTCGAAATATCCTCGTCATCATCAGGCTCTATTCGACTAGCTGAGGATGTTTCATAATTTGTGTCGGCACCAAGCGTACTTTTAAGAATCATAGTTGAATGAAAATTAAATCTTTTAATAAGATTTTTATTTAAATCATTTTTTCCTGTAGTGTTCGATGCACTTTCATTAACACCATAACCAATCTATTTTGAATAATTAAAGTAAACTATTCGACGTAACAAGGAACATTCTTACTTCACTAGTATCATTTGTTTCTGGTGCAATCACAGCCATTGCTGTTCGACTAGCTCGTTCTGCTTCATTGTGCATTTCTATGAAAACAAAATAAAATTTTCGAATTTCAAAAAAAACAAAGCAAAATGATTTTTCATACTTTCATCATCTTGTTTAACACAATCGGCAAAAAGATCACGATGATGCGATGAATGCATGCGATCCATTGTAAAATAATGTGACTGAAAAAATGTTCGCCAAAAGTCGGCTTCGTTCATACCACCAGTGTGTACATTTTGCTCATATTTTTCTCGAACTATTCAAACTAATTCTTATAGCGATTAGCGATTAAAATTGACTAGCATACTCGCCGGATATGTACGAAAAATAGACATAATGGTGTCTGCATTCAGCTTGTAAATTATACCACCATTATCACCGGATTCAGGACGGATATTTGTCTAAATTCAAAAGTTAAATTAGACAATTCAAATGTGACTACATACCAAAAATGCACCGGATACTCCGGTGTTCTGCTTTTTGGTACTTGCGGTTAATTTATCAAACTAAAATTTGCAAAATAAAGTCAGTCTTAAAGATGCAACCTTTTTGTTTTTCTTTCAATTCATACATCAACATATTTACTCCAAAAATCATCAGCTGACACCAAACCACTAATAACCAAATCTTTGTATAATTGATAAACGGTTTTATTTTCATTTAAAATCCTATAAAAAAGAAATCTTAGTCTAGAAAAATTTTCTCGAGTTTTTAACCGGCTTTAATTGTTTATCATTTCTTTGTGTAGATAAAATATATCATAGATAGTCAAACATATCTAAGACAATGTTATCTTTCTCATCAGTATTGGACGTTAGCCTGAGAAAGAATAAATTTCTTGCCCAAATATTTTTTTTGAGCTGTGCACGAATTTAGAAAAACCAACTCGATATAAATGACATTTCCTAGAAGCACTGAGTTGTTGTCGGTGTATGTCACATAAATAAAACTCAAGTCGAACGCAGTAATATATTTGCGTCTCACAATTCTATTTACACTGAACAAAATTTTATCCGCAGAAAAAAACCTAAATGCCCTTCTAAGCTGTTTGGAAAGGACCATAGTTTGAAAACAATTGACCTAAACTCCTTATGAATTACTTCGTTAATGTCATCAATAAAATACATCTTAGCATGCTAAGTACTATTTTTCTCGACTTTACTCTTTAGATAACAGATCAGCTACTAAAAGGTTGTAACAGTCGTTTTTCTGTTCTATTGGCCAACTTAGTACTACGTATAATACTGATAATATATACTTTATGAAAACATTACAAAGATCACTGAAAGTAAGAAAAAAATCTTACTTAGTTTTGACTTCGAGTGCTTGATCCATCATTGTTTTAAATTCTGGTAGCAGTATTTTAAGTAAATCGGACACACTATCACGATCTTTCTTTTGTGCATCAAGTCCAGTTGAATTACAAAAATGGAATGTTGTCATCATTTCATTGTAGCAAACAATTTGTAAACGTATTTTTGATTTTTCATCAGATGATATGCGATGATCTTTGAAGATTCAATAAAATAGTATTTTCGGTACGAAAAGGCAAAAAGATTGAGAAGTCATAATAGCGAAAAATACAATGTCGATCATATGAAAATAGCGAAGCGTGTATATTTTCATCAATTTTTTAAAATTCAACAAGTGATATTTTATTCCTTCGTTTTCTATTTTCACTGGCTGTCGCTTTTCGTAAGTAGTACCATCGTAGAGTTTAGTTGAAGAACTGAGCGCAAAAGAAAAAATATATATAACTAAATCTAATCAAGATATGCTATTTCTTGTTTTCTTTTTTTCATTATATATCACTTGTTGTAAATTTAGTATCATTTTTGATGGCATCTAATACAACCAGCGTGTCTCTTACCATCATTAATAAAGGCAATCCTCTGCTAGTCTTAAACGATTGTGTATATCGAGTAAAAAAAGAAACAGAATTAAACAAATATTAGATTTGCGAAAGAAATGGATACAATACGCTTGTACAAAAAGTTTTTTTTGAAATCGATGTTCATCAATTGTTTGATGGCTTCTCACTCGCCATAGTCAAGCGAAAGAGAGAAATATTTTCTTTTTATTAATTTCATAACTAATTATTCTTCATTCATTTCATTTTTTGGTGTACTTAAAATTTTATTAGACAATAAAAAATCTTTATCTTAGCAGTTTAAAAATAATAGAATAAATTTTTTCGACATTTTGTATTTCGGTCATTTTGATACATACTCTAAATCACTACAATGATGGATGGATACAAAGTGTAGATACTCGATTGCGTTTATTTCGAAACAAATTTTATTTTTACTCACTTTCACTGGTGCTCGTATTCCTCTCTGACGAAATACATATATATATATATCCACTATTGAATAATTCTCTATTTTCATCAACAACAATAAAAATAACAACTTACATTTAATATCACAATAATCAAAAGATAATGTAAATACATCTTTATGTTTGGGCATCCAAGCCATACGTTCACTCATCATATATAAGGTTCCTTCAACTTTTTTGCTCTTAACATGATCGACTTTAAGTCGAACATCTTCTCCATTGGGCATCTGAAAATATTCAAATAAATAGCCTTTGTTAAACGCAATTAAATGATGATTAAATTAGTCAAGTATTGCCATTTAATCCGTTTCAGATATAATTATCTCATTTGATTTATCATTTACAAAATACAAAAGTATCTTCAAATTCCATGAATCTATAGGATATTTATTTAGATGATGTTTTCAAAGAAAGGCATATACAGGTAATAAGCAACAATAACAGATATAAAGAAATAATCTTGCTCATATTTTTTCTAGTCTTTAATAAGTGGCCGAGTTGTTGTTGTACCACCAGCGCTACTTGGAATAACTGAAGTTGAATTTGATTGTTTGAAATTAGCAGCTGCTTGATATTGCAATTGATAAGCTAGAGAATGAATTTTAAAGCCATAGAGTCGAGCTACAAATTGATTTGTTGGACGTTTTGGTCTATATTCTGGGTGAACCATAAATAGCATATGAGGAAAACCAGTACTAAAATATGCGCCATCTGTATGATGATGTCGAGAACTTTTTGGTGTATAAACATCCATGCATTTGGGACAATAAAGTTTAACCATTGCTTCACCAGGAACTTCCGATAAACCAATCTATGAGAAAATATAAATTAGAAAATAAAAGCACGTTGCTCGAGCAGAACGACCCCACATTGAGCATGCTCATGGGGTTATTCGAATTAATCAGCTCGTAAAATTTTCCGTGAATTCAAAATAGGAGGAAAATTTATCAACAGTATGATATTCGATTCATAACATAGATTTACTAAATAGCTCGATGATTTCAAAGCATAGTTGAACAATTTCCAAAAAACAAATTCTTACAGTTTTAGAATCAATATTAGATGATGTTCAGGTTTGGAAATGGCTTTTGGACAGCATTTATTTTAATTTTTTTAGTAATTAATTGATGTACAAAAAATGAGAAATCATGGCAACTTTAGAAACTAGATGGTATTCGAGTTTCACTCGACTACGAATGCGATGCGAAGATCGAATCGGATCTTCACGAAAAATCTTCAATTCAGAGAAATCTTGAATACTTTTTATGTCGACATGATGAAATTCATCACTGAGAAAACTCTATTCTTACTTAGCGATACATTCTTAAGGGTCGATTTTGATTGATCGATTAATTATCTTCATGATTCATTATCTTAGAGCAGCTGGAAATGAATAGGCTATAGTGGCTAACATATGTTGATGACATCATTTTAATTATCTCGCAACAAATTTCTTTCATTTTCGTCATTTTGGAACCACATTTGTGAGTGAACAGAACTTCAGATTGAAGATTAGAAAACAGATGTCAAAAGTTCGATCTCAATACTTTCATCTCCCGTTTCAATGAGTTTCGGCACTCGAGATCATCGGGTCACAAAATGATGAAAAAGATGCGTACGTCGAGAAAGCAAAGGCAAAAGAAAACTCGTGACGGACTACAGGAATGTCGTGCTTCGCATTGCATTAAAAATTAGTTTTGTGACAATCTGTTTTCTATTCTTACCGGTAACATAGGTTGGTTGTCACAATAAATACGAGGACAAAGACCAAAATCACCATTTTGAAATTTTTCAAGCATTTGAGCTATACCATTATTAGTCAAAATATAACGAGCGTGAATAAGGCCTAAATCCAAAACCAATCAATTAATTCATGCTTTACAAAGATCATTAAATCTACCATAGAGCATTTCAGCAGCTTGTTCAATCAAATCAGATTGATTTGGATTGTCTTGATTATCAAGATCATCATCAGGCTCAAGATCAAGGATCATATCGAGTGCTTGACGATAATGAGGCACTTGTTCATTAAGACCCGTCTACAATAATCATCGAGCTTGAAATCCTATTTCAAGTTTTTGCTAAATAACTTACTAAATTAAATTTATCTTGTATATAATCTTCGTCAACTTCACAAAAGAATTCATTACCACGAAGACCACAGAACCATGAAATCCACGAAACTGTGTCATAGAAAAAAAATCGATTCAATGAAATCAAAAAAAAAAACCATTTACAATACCTTCTTCTGATGAACTCATTGAACTAGTGTGTGATTTAGTACCACCAACAGCAGACGATGATGATTGATCGTCTTTATTTATATATGCAGCTCCAGTCGAGGCCAGAACAATAATGCCAATAGAAAAAGAAAATCTAAAGGAAAAAACACATCATTAATTATCTATGTTCTTATTTTTTGCTCGAATAAATAAACATAATGAAAAACCAGAAGAAAAGCAAATGCATAATTATATCCATTACCGTTGGAGCTAATTAACTATATATTGTTCGATTCGATTAATTGAAATACCAAACTGCTCGAGCAAGTAGACTTTCTTTTATCGAACAACAGGCAACACAAAAAAAAATCTGAAAACTAAATATATTATATAGATGAAATTGTTGTATCGTTTATGAAAACAAAATAATTTTCTTTTCCATAATATATATATATATATATAATTCTATTTGATAAAGCAACAACAAGAATCATCTGACAGACAAAAGGTTGAGGTTCTAAATCAATAACACACTACAATAAAGACATCTCATTCGGTGATTGAATAAAAACACAAGAAAATTGTTTTCAAAAAAAAAAAAAAAGGAAAAAGAAATCATAGTCAAGGGTCGAATTTCTTCTTTTTGTTCATGAAGAATTAAACATTAACCATTGGCCCTAATTGTTTATCAACAATATAAAATTTGCTTTTGTCGCTAAATAAACCCCAAAGAACTGCAGTTATTTCGCATACAATAACGAATGGAATTGTGGCTAATGTACCAAATATTCGCAGTGCAAATTGTGAATAGCCTAAACGTACTAATGAGAATGAACGGACTGCGCCGATTATATATAAATAGATATTAACAGCTCCAACATAGCCAATTAAAAAGTTTAATGTCCAATGTAATGGTATGGGACAAAGTGGAGTAAGTATAACATTTAAGGAAGTCAATGGTAATGTAACCCAGGAATACAAGGCGATTCCTAAAAATTTCATATAAAAAATTATATTTAGTCAAAAATAAAATGTTTACCTAATCCAATGCGAACTCGAATGGGCAAACGTGAATCATGAACAACAAGTAGAATTCCTTGTAACCATCGTTTACGTTGTTTAATAAAATCCGATAATGTAAATGGACTTTTTTCCCACATTTCACCTAAATAGAAAAAATTGATCAGTCATTTTTCTTTGTTTATTATAAGTATTTTTGCTTCAAACAAACCTTCAATCCATCCAAACTTTTTATTTTTCGACATAGCTAACATAGCAAAATAGGTATCTTCAGCTATTGAACCTGCACGTCCATTATCAAATGTAACTTCCATTTCACATTGAGCTCGACATACGACAAATGATCCCTTGAATAAGAATGGTGGCCGATTAATTTTTTTTAAACAAAATCTTAAACATCCTAAATCAACACCGACACGCATACTATCAGCCAATGTTGTTATATAATTAACAATGGTTTCATTTGCATATGTTATCAGTCCTTGTCCAATATCATATTCATTGGAATTGACAAAATTCAATATTCCACGTACAGAATTTTCTGTCAATAGAGTTTCTTCATCTAAATGTACAATAAAAGCATCCGGTGACAATTGATTAACATCGGGTTCTAATGCATATTGTAAAGCGCGTGATTTATATAAAGCACCTGTCTTCGTTCGATAATCATTTGGTACAACAACTTCACGAACCATACTTAACGGCAGACCAGTTAGACTAATGGGTTTATCAGTAACGATTTCAATTTGAAAATTATTGAAACCAACTTTGGCACATGTATCTATATTTCTTCTTATATTTGTTCGTACTAAGTCCGCATAATCACCGCGTGTCACAACACGTATGAGAATTTTCGGACCAAGCCATGGTGAATTCAGTAATGTTGGTCGATCCGGAAAAACATTATAGAGAATTAAGCCACATGCATGGCATATAGCCAATGGTAATGGTAATAGTGATAATAAACGTATAAAATAAATAATTATCGTTAAGAAAAAACCATAGTGATCAATCGGATTATCAAGGAGAATATTGGAAGTTATTTGATTCGGTGGAAAAATAACAATGCCACCGGCCAGTATTTCGAATATAAAAATAAATGTTAGAAAACAGCATACATGAAGTATATGACGAAGTTGCGACGATAACATTGTTAATTTTTATCTATGTTCGATTGTATTTGTCTGCAATGAAAAGCTGAAAAAATAATATTATGTAGTCAGGCAATCAATTTTATCTATGCAAGTTTCTTAATGTAACAAAAACAAGATGTTTAAATACAAAATTTATAAGCAAATGACTACTATCAAGGTTGCTAGCGTTTTTTCTCTTTCATTCTTCATATTTTTAGGGCGTCTTACCTGACAACAACTCAAACTGTAAATAAACACATGCGTTTATTGACTCATACACTCAACTAATATGAGCAACCATTAAAAAGAATTGTCGTTATACATCAACTCGTCTACTCGTTCATTCTTCTAATTGAAAAGTTCAATATTTGTTTCTTTGGTGCTTTCATGTTTATCTGAGATCTACGTAGGTAGAAGACTTTGATCTGCTCCCTTTTAGTTTCATCTCAAGGACATCAGAATAGAAAAAGATAAGAAGAAAATAGCTATTTTTTTAGCAATGCCAAACATCACAAAATGTGTAGCTTATTTTTCATACTGAAGTCGCATTTGTCTCGCAGTTTTTTCTCTCAAAATGTTAAGCTTTATTGTATTTTAGTAAGCATATGTGCTTCAATTTCTCTATATACTTTTCAAAAATCTTATTAGAAAGGATGAGTACAGATGATTGCGTCCGATAACGGGATATTCTCTTTCTCTATTTCTTTTTAAATAGAACAGAAAAAAACGATGCATCGGGGTTAATATCAATGAATAAGTATGATTTACTAGGCCTCGAGTATTGAAGTGACAAATGGAGTATGCTCTTTTTTTTCTTCTATTTTGTCTAATAGTCTTATGTTAAAGGAAGTGACATGACAAAAAATGCCCGGAACATTAAAGCAATGAATCGAAGAAAGAAAAAAAGAAGCTATCGTAGTGAAAAAATACGAAGATGCACTGTATGATCGATGATAGATTCTTCTCTTCTGTACATGTATATATATATATATATATATAAGAAAAGGAAAAGAAAGGCCAGATGGACGATACACAACCGAATAATATGGACTATACCAATTATCTATGTCTAAAAATGTGTATCGGTTAACATCCACAATATGTGCGCGTATGCGGCTTTATCTTCTTCCTTCTTTGTTAATAAATAATAGTAATAGAACGAAAAAAAAGACGCACGATGATACATAATTTAGCTCTTCGCTGGCCCCCTCTCCATACAATCATTTTATCGAATTCTATGACTAATTCCTTTTTTTCATGCAACAAAAATAAGAAGCATTGATTGTCATGAAGATGTGTTTTGTTCGCATTGCAAAATGAGTAACGAGAAAAATGATTCATTTACCTATTTTGCTTGCTGAGTTTATGTGAATGATTCATCACTTTGGTATGATGTTAATTTAAATGCCAACACCGGACTGGACTTTTATCTAAAGCAAAACAAGATACATATTCAATGTTGTAGATGATTAGTGAAAGGAGTGGTTTGTGCAAAAAGATTTTACACCTTACTTTCTATTTCATCAAACAATCATCAACAAATCCCTTGAAATCCCTTTGTGATAGAGAATGATAAATTGCACGAAAAAAACATTTTTACTCAGCTACCGAGAAGTTCAGAGTAGCGCTTTTAACTACGTGCATATAAATTTCATTTCCCATGAGTCCTATACTCTAGGGAATAGCAAATTTTCACTGAGCATAGTTTTAGATCACAATGTGGTATTGGTTAAAATATTCAGCAGATTATTATTGTTCAAATAAATGATATCGTTGTTCAACATTCAGTTTATAGCTATTACTTATTATCTTCTTGACGATTTATTAGAAATTGCATTAATCATCTTAACATCGGACTAACACAGGGGAGGTAATACAATGTAAAATCTAGGTCGTAGACATCAACTATGATTCAATTTTTTATAATTTACAAATTTAGAAAGAGAAACGATATTTTGTTTTACTTTTCAGAACTAATATTTTTATTGAATATTTTATGTTTAGTTAAGTACTAGAACGAAAACAAATCATATCGAAGTATAATAAGTATTAACTCTCCTACGCAAGAGAATTGAGTGTGATTCTTTTAGAATCTAGTAGGTTTCGTCTTTGGATTACCATAGATTAGGGCTTCGAACGACGAAAAAGGCGCATTCAAGTTTGATCTATTCGGCATGAAATTTACTAAGCTGTAAATCAGAACATGAAAAATACGCTAAACTGCACTATTCGCTCTCATTTTAGATTATTACTCATAATATCTACTACAGCAGTATATATTCAGCTATTCTGCTTATTTCTGTCAATGATTACGTTAAACTTAAAGCAAGTCATTTTTTTAGATGAGAAAAAAATGGACCTATATTATTATTAATTCGTAATGAAAATAAAATTTGATTGAGATTGATTTGTCTCATTGAAATTTTTATCCTAAAACTTAATGATTATCGATTTTCTCCCTAATATCCACTGGATACTTTCATAAACATCGAAAAATAAATTCTCCATGATTATTTTTTCTATGAAAAAGATTGATAAACGATGTGGAGACATTTAATAAGATATCGAGACTTCTAAAAATATAAAACTATGTCGATCTAACTTAGTCTTGACTTTAAATATTTAAATTAAGTGCGCGATATTATTTAGTTAATATTTATAGAAAAATAAATAAATACTTATGAATAGAATAATATTTTTTTTCTTTTAAGATGCTAATCTATAAAATGTTCTCCACTAGAATAAATATATGTATAACCATGACTTTTTTCGCATCACTTGTTTAATAAACAATAGAATTGAAGGTTTCTTAGCATCTGTTGCAATCGTCTTTCGGAAATTATTAGAGGTCGTTGTATGCGACAAACTAGGACTAGGAATACAAGCGTTGACTACATGGCAATAAATATAAACAATTGTTTATCAGAGTTATACTAGACCAATGATTAGGATTACTCTACTAAAGGTGTCATCTGTTCTCTCATTGAAACCAAACAATATTCTTTATTGAAATAATATGTTCCAATCTTTGTTTTTGTATTGCATTATGTGGTATACTTTTTTAAACAAAAAAATGCTCGAATAGCAGGTATAAAAGAGGGCGCCACATACCAATATGCATTATTCAAGGAGAGAAACTCACAAAAATACTGATTTAGGACATTGAAAATCTATTTAAATCAAGTATTCATTTTTCTACTCCCAGCTATAACCTCGACCTCTAATGAAATCGCAGGTGGTCTTATACTATTCTTTCTCTATAAATTGTCCTACATTTTCTAAAAGCTAAATGACAAAATTTTTAATGTAGGTGGTAGAACTATCTGTTTGCCAAATATTTGAAATAATAATAATATACCGAGTCTCACCATGCTTATCTTTCCAAACATATTACTTTCATTTATATTTAGCAGCTCGTTGTCAATTTAGATTGATAATTTTATTTCTATAAAGAAAATCAAATTAAGTCTTTAACTACTTACTTTTATTTTATTTAATCCGGTTCTGGACAGAATGAAATAGAATTCATCTCGTAGTACTGAGCACTTGGAAATTGACATATTTTGTCGTTTGTGACAAGACAACACATGTGCATGATAATTCTAGAATTAATTAGAAGGTCTGATTTATGCTGATGATTGAGTCGCGAGTAGTCGCATGAAAATATTTGTAGCAAACCAAAAGTAATGCCAACACAAGACTAAAATATTGTATAGCAAACTCGAGAATATTTTCTCTCGATATGCACAGATCGGAGAAATAATTTATTATGTATTTATCTACCATGTCAACTTTTTTATACTAATATTCTACAAATGTGCATATGAAACGAGCTATTTCTGATGATATATGACGATATAATATTTATATCTGCCATCCGGCGTAAAAACCAGCGATTAGATATTTTTCGGTATGTTTTTTTTTTGACAGAAACAAGTCAAAGATTTGCACTTCTTATCGTAACAACGACAATAGATGGACATGTCAAGTCATATGTCATTGTTTTTTCAAACAACTTTCAACAAGAACTACGGCAATATTGTTTTCTGTGTAAATACTCAACGCAGCCATTCTATTTTTACATAGTACTTCTTAGAGATTTTACTAGTATATGAGTGTCAAATAGAATGTCTATATGGTTTCTTAATGACGCAATCAAAACATAGGACTCATGTACATATTTCAAAAGAGTAGAATAAAGTCTTCTACGAGATCATTTTCATGTATTGTTAACTGGATTTTGTTATAATAAAAAGGGCAGTTCTTTATATTACTTCTATTTAATACAATATCAACATCAACTTCCCACTTATTTTGTTTTGACAGGAGCAGTTCCAATCTCACGAAATACCAGAAACAAATAAAAACAGTTGTCAAAAATTTTATTAACAGAGTACTAGTTGAAGAATGATGGTATATTATCCCTATCAACACATACATAGAGAAAATGTCCTCAAACTTTCTATACAAAACTTAATCATTAATGTCCTTTTAGTTTTGGATTAGTCTGGGTACAATAAAAAATTTATGGATATAAACCTGTAATAACAGAAAACATTTCAATGTCACCAATCGAGTTTTCGATGTAAATAGATATCCTATAGTGGGGCACATATATACGCAATTCCCTGCGATTACTCAAACCTTTTACAAACGAGAAAAATGTGTATATCCTTTTCTCTCTCTCTCTCTCTATCTGATCAATTCTCAAACTACTTTGCATTGTTTGGTCTAAAAACAAAAGAATATTCTTCAGTTTCAAAATATGACATTTTCTATGCGAGAATGCCTGTGTCAAAAGTGAATAATTTAAGTAAATTCTAACTGGACTCATTTGACAGAGATTTGACTGCATATTCCATTGCATTTTATATCATCAATAACAATAATCTCTTTCTATTTAACTAGCTCTCAAGATCAAGAGAGCTTCAATTTTGTATCTCGACAATATTATTTAGTGACCCACTCAACAACGAGTATTAATTTTTATTGCAGCATGAAATACACGATTTTTTTCAAGAATCTAACCATAGTTGAAACACCAACCCACTACAAAATAAGGATATAGAGATACAGAAAGCGCATAATTCGTTTTTCTTGGTGTTGTTTTACTAATTTAATATTTCAAGCTTTATTATGAAAGAGGAGAATAAATGATCTTCTAAAAATCTTTTTGAACAAATATTCTATCTTATAAGACAAATCCGCAGCAAAGAAACTGCAGACAAAACTTGAATTTCATATTCCCTAATTGAATTGGCATGGCACAATAAATCTTTGCATCAATTTAACAACAATGTTTTTAAATTTTTGTCCATTAAATTTTTCATATTATGTATGACATAGCACTACTTACCTGTTGCAATACTCGTATGATGATCTAAAGTAAAGATATTGATTTCTTGCTAAACGACATGCATTTATACAATATATTACAGCGTCGACCAACAGTGTAACTAACTTCAACACGACATACATATATCCACATATACATGGCATATAGAGGACACTAGATGCAGCATAGATATGTAAATATCATATTTATTACCAGAAAATCGAAAATTAAAAATAAGATCTAATGAATTTTGTTCTCAAGAGTTTTCTAGTACAATTTTCTATCTGAAATTCATAAGAATTCAAACGAAAGGATATTTTACGAATATACGACGACGAAAGAGTTGTCAAGAAACGAAATGAATCAAATGAAAAGAATGGCGTAATCATACAGGCTTGACATGTTATAAGATCATCATAGTTATAAAAAAGAAACAGTTATAATCATGGTTATTAAAACTTTACCCGATCCTTTAGCAAAGCCAATGGCTAATACTCAATTATTACTACAACGACAAAGACGCAGTCATTCGGGTTAGAAAAAAAACGCCTTACCAAATTAATTTGTTAATAGATATATTTTTGAATAGCTCCATATCCAGCTTTTAATCGAACCGAAATACCCCAACAACATCGTTTACCAGATGCTGCCGATCTTCGTCGAATGTGTATCATAACCAAAACCGATTTGAATCGTATCTATGAAAATTTAGATCATCGTCAACGTAGTAAAGATGCTATTCAACAAGAAATAGCTCGAAAAAAAGAGATAGCTGAACGTTCAGCTCAAGTAACTAAACATTGGACAAATACTATCGCTGTAAATGAATCAATAATTTTACTTGTTTGTTTGTCTTTCATTAAAAGAATTTTATAATATCAGGGAGCACGTGAACGTAAACTTGAAATGAAAAAGATTCGTGAACAAGAAGAAGAAGACAGAAAGAAATTATTAGATATTGAAGAAGAAAAATTAGCTGCTGAACGTCGTCGAGAACACATTGAAAAAGCAAAACAATTAAAATATTACGAAACAGATCGTGTTCGAACGTTTCATGTAAATTTCAATATTCATTTTATTGTCTTATGTCTTTTTTTCGAAACTATAGAGCGCTCTTCTTCATACAGAAGTTTTAAAAGAACGTGATCTGCAAATTGAAATGAAAAAACGTATTGAACAAATGCGTCACACCGATGATGAACAAGAACGTCAACGTTATCAAGTAGCTCAAAATGATTATATTAGAGCTGAACAAGAAAAAGCTGAGAAAAAAGCAAGGTAATTTATTCTGCAAATCGATGTTTTATCACGCGATCATTTTTCGATTTATTTATAGAGATCGATCTAATGTAACTCAATATCAAATTGCACAGTTCGTAAAATGAAACTTTTCAATTTCAATATTTATATGAATTGGTTTTTCTTTAAGAATGGAACGAAAACGAATGCAACAAATAAATGAAAAACAAAGAGATCTCCAAGAAGGTGAAGAATATAGACGATTAGCTGAACAATATGCACTTGAACAAATGGAAATCGAACGATTTCGTAAATTAACACAACACGATGTGAAAAATATGTATGATCAAGCACTCGACGACAAATTCAAGGTTCGACAGATGGAAAAACAATTAGATGAAGTAAAAGAAGAAGAGAATTTTTTTTTGACATAATATTTGTTCGTCACTTTTTTTTCTTCTTAGGAAGAAGATGATGAACTTCGTATATACGCAGATGCTAAGAAAAATATTGCTCGATTAAGACGTCAAAAAGAATTTCAAGCTCATCAGTGAGTTTACTTAATGTACCGGTCAAGAGATTTATTTCATTTGATTTGTCTATAGGGAAAAACAAGACGCACGTGATTATATGACTGGCTATTTGGGCTCGTTACAAAAACGAGCTGAAGCTAATTTGGACACACAAATGTTCCGTGCTCGAGCAGAAAGAGAAGCAAAAGAATTACGTGAAGAACAGGAAAAATTAGATAAGCAAAAAAAAATGAAAGATTCAATTAATAAGTATCGACAAGAAGCGGTATGAACAATATTTTGATATCATTAAATTGGTATTGTACTTTTTCTCTCCGTTTCAGATGAAACGACGTGAAGCTGAAAAGGAAATGGACGAACGTGATGACGCTGAACTACGGCTAAGAAAAGCAGAAGCTGATCAATTGTTTCTTATATATCAACAAGAAAAGGATAAAAAACGAGATGAAGATGCGCAAGCTGTTTCAGAACATCTTTTGAAACAAGCTGTAAGTCATTCTATTTAAATAAGCATTTAGATTGTAAAAATTACGAATCAGGTTATGGCTAGAGATGTACAAAATTAGTCTTGGTCTAGCTAAAAGAAACAGCCCAAGGCTTTCGTATTCCACAGTACAGGTCGAAGTAGACCACCTGAATTACAGTTCTGGTAAAGAAATTCTGCAATATTTTCCTCTAAATAGACACAGTTTATCACTCCGGCAGAGCCAAAGAAGAATGCTTAATTTTAAAACATAAATATTTTTACTTAAAAAATTCCATAAAACTTAAGATTCAAGTTAATGACATCATTTTATTAGAGATATACAGTGTTACTCTATCGTGAAAGATAGGACTGTAAAAAGGTCAGAACATTTTTCTCTGTCATTACGCGACGGAACCATACCAGTTGTCCACTCCCATAAGTGCTACAGTCAAAGGGGATAACATAGATTCACCAGTTAATTAGAATAAAGAAAACAGTCGACAACGATTTTCAATTTCTAAGTGAAATCAATACATTTAAGGACAGAAAATGTGAATTAATATTTTTCGAAAACCACCATTTTATTCTGATTTACGCTTTGCAGCAAGAACGAAAAGATCGTGAGCGCGCATTAAAAGCGACTGAAGTCGATGAAGTTCAACTTGATAAACATATGAGTGAAATCGAACGACAACAATTTCAAGATTATGCAGGACGTGTTATTTCATACATGGACGAAAATGGACGTAACACATATCCCATGAAAAAAGTATGTAAATCTTGTTTGTATGTGGGTTTTTTTCATTATTAAAAAGTTTTATTTAGGTTTACGTTGAAGAAATGAAACGATTTGATCAATGGAATCAAGGCTACAGAAAGAATGAAAGTCGCAGCAGTAACAGTGAGAGAAAACCACGCACTCAAGAGAAAAACACATTCGATCAAACCAAGAAGAATTTAGGATTTCAATGGGACATACCTCAACAATAAATGATGAACGATTGTTTTTTAATGTACCATTTTATTATACACTCAAGTCTATCTGACACAGATTGACAATCAATAAATCCTTGTATAGGACTAATTTCAACGGCGTTTGTTATCGTAAAATTTCACAAACAAAAAATAAATTCTCTTTCTACATTAGAATGGCTCCCAATTATGAATTCTTTTTATGCTCTGTTTTTTTTTCATAAACTTTTGATAAATTCATCTTGCGAGCTTATGTTAACACTTGCTGTAAATTAGATCATTTGTAAAGCGGCTGAAAAACTGTCGGATTAGCATAAAATGGAAGGGTGTGACCATCGTTCACATATCCTGTTTATTGTATATCGAGCAGCGAGGTCATAAAAATAGGTATCAACAACACTAACATTTTCACCGGAAATAAACATACGAATTCAATAGATATACAGCTACCAGATATATTCCACGAAAGTTTTATAAGAAAGATGTACAACCTAGTCCCAACTCGATAAGTCTCTCTGTGAATTTTGATCTGAATAAAAACTAGAATTGCATGGCAATTATTTGTATTAAATTCCATGTTATAATCAATTAAACATTTCAAACCGTATGAGTTTGATTTGTATGTTTTTTTCTTCTGCTTTCCTTTAATCTATAATTACACTGAACGATGCGTTAGATCATTCTTCGCTTGATTATCAAAGACAGTCATTTTTCTATATTTGTCGTGGGACTCTTTTTCTAAATATAATTTCTAATCGATCAGAAAATTTCCCATGTATTCTAATTCTTTTATGAGTTCATGGTTAAATCGAGAACTTTTTCTCTGCTATTTTTTTGAATAAGTTCTTAACAAAAGAAAAAACAATTAGCCCCTTCACTTTGCATAAAACGTGCTAAACATTTACCCAAAATTTCAACTGGACACAGTTCACTTAAAATGAAGCTACTTTTTTAAAATTCTTCATTATTGAGAAAAAATCACGTTCATTTACATCTGCCACTTGTTCTCATCATCAAACAACTGAAACATGCTTTCAGACACACTTCTTTTATAGTTTCGATGGGTTGTCACCTAAACATCATATCATTAAAAAATCACCCATAAAATTAGAGCAAAAAATTTGCTTATCTATTTTGAAATTCAAAGACGAGAAACGAAACTATAAAAATTTTCTCTTCACACATAATCATCAAGTTTCTATTGAATATATTTTCTTTTTTGATCTTCACATACAAAGACACTCATAAATTTAAGAATTGATCGTCATCTTAAAAACCTAGATCTTTTGTACATAACTATCCCGATAATCGAATTACGCCTCTCGTAAACAGACACGAGTCAACGATAAAAATTGAGTGAAATAAACCGATTGACATCCCGTTGATCGAATCATTCGATTCAGGTTGACAATTGTACATAGTTTATATCCTAGTGTGCATGTATTTTTCTAGCGAATAGCATGTGAATTATTGACATCGTTTTCTTCATAATTATCTTCCACATTCCCATCGATATTTTCTACAGAAAACATGATTGAATTCTCTTTCTTTTTTTTTACATATTCAATTAAACGAAAAGAATGTTTTAATATATGTTACAAGACTGATAAGAATTGGAATTTGTTTTAAAAGTCAACGGTATATCTATCATTAATTTCAATAGATATTTTATGTACTATTGATGATGCATCAAAAACAAAAAGGTGTGAACAAGAATGAAAGAACGAAGATAAAATGAAATCGTTTGAATATCATCAGTATTGATGCGCAACGAACATTGCGATTTTTGTTTTGCATATATTAAAAAACGTGAAAACTTATTGACCTTCCAAAATTGTCAATATTATCATAAGTCTATCTGCTATGCGAACTTATCTTTAACATCAAACTATTGAGCTAATCAGTGAGTCGCATGTCTAATTAATACCTAAAGACCTATTCGAAACTGAGATATGCTTGAACTGTTATGGTGTAATACACTTCCCTTAAACCAAACTCTAATTCTTATCGATTGATCTGTACAAATAATACAGTTATTTCAGTTCAACAGTTTCGTCAGTCAAAAGTGAAAGCGAAAAATAAATAGCAACGATCGTGTCTGATTGGTCAAGCAATGATTTTTCTCTTCTTCCGATTTCTCTATAAATATATTTTATTTCTTCCGTATTCTTTCATTCTGCTGATCTGAAACGATTAGAATGGTTATCGAAAAAATATCATTTACAGAAAAAAAGAAGAAAACAATCTTTGGTCGGCTTACAAATAAATTTATTAATCAACAACGATGTTCAAAACGTGATCAATCAGTTCAAACAAGTTCGCATTCATCTATAACAACGACTGTTCTAAAACAACAAATCTACTCATCGGATAATCAGAGTGCAAATAGTGAAATATCGAGTCGTCGACGTCGATCATCGTTTAAATCATTTCTGATGTTATATTCACCGAAACCAATACCACTTATTCATCGTACGACACGTCGACGAAGTATTAATTTAACAGCATCGAAACGGCTAAGCTCGGAATGTCTTGTAAGTTGTATTTTATTTTTCGAATATTTTAAGCATTGTGTTATTTTTTTAAAATAGCAAGTGGCATTAATTCGAAAAATTCAACCACTCAATCGATTCGATTCATCATCGATGTTCTCTTCGTCATCAAAACAGATGTACAATGATGAAACATCCAGTCGTGATGAACGTTTATCTATTGGGCCTATGAAGTGGAGGTAAGGATATTTTTCTTTTTTTTTAATATAATTGAACTTTTTTTGTTGTCCTTTTCAGTACACCTAATCGAACAATGATATACAAAACTTCGAGCCCGAATAATAATAATTCTGATCGACAACATCGTTTTGGTACAGTTGATCAACTTTCTTTTTCAAATATTTTCGATCGTAGCGATTAATTTTGGTGTTCGTTTTTTGTTTTGTTTTTGTCTTGATGAAACATTTTCAACTATGATCATATTTAATGAACAACTTCCAATTTTGTATTATGTCTATCCGAAACATTTCATGCTAATATATTGCTTGTTGGAATAGTGCATAAATGACCAGACACAACACATCAATTTATACTTATCGTATAATCTAGCCGGAAATTCGGTGGGTCATGTTCATATGCGATTCGATCTTTAAATATTTTGTGTCTTTTATTAAGTTCATTTTCTACGGATAAATTTTTCTTCAAAACTAAACAACCTGTTCGGTCAATGCCGAATACGTTTGTCTCTTGGGATGGAAGAGAAAAACTGATATATTTGTGATGAATCATCTTGCGACTTTCGATTGGTCGAATAACAGAACAGATGAATCTTTTTCATTGATAAGATCACAACCTGATTTTCTGAGACAATACTTTCACATCGTCAACGTAAATAAGGAATGTCTATGCTTACCTTATTGATACAAATATGGGCTCATTTCGTTTGCGGTTCAATTTAAGAGAAGATATATGTTAGCTCTTATGATATGAGTTGAAAAATGCTTTCTCGACTATTTGAATGTTTCGATTCAATGCATTCATCTAATAAGTATGCTGATTTTTATTTGATTACAAGACTTTTCAGACTGAACTAACATGTTAGAAATTACTACTTCCTTTAGCCCACGGGATGATCCAGAAAAAAGTAGCCTATGTGAAAAACAAATTATTTTATTGACTAAAACGAATACAAGTGAAATAAATAGTATAGTACGAGACATAAATTAAGATGATTCGTTAGGACGAACTCATGGTGAAGCATTTTTGAATTTAGAGACTTCACGAAGTCGTGTTTTTCATTCATTCGAGTCAATTGCTATTTTGCCTTGTTCTATAGCAGTGAGTTCTTGTGTTGTTGCTGACCGTTCACCAGAATCACGTAATGTTTGTAAACGATGTCGATTTTGAAACCAAATTCGAATTTGCTCCAATGTGACGAGCAACTAAATCACGTTGGCTAGCTACAACAATGAAACGAATAGGTTAATCTGGACAATGCTAGTTTTAATCTTACCATTCGGATAAGTTACTCGTTGAAACAATTCGTTAAGTATATATCGAATATTATAACCGTGTAGTTTTTGACGTTAACCGTTGTATCTAAATTTGGAAGAAATCAAAGTTTCAAAAATAAATTTTGAAAGCTAGACTTACATTTTGAGTTGTTGTGGTCGAAGATGGAATCGAACAAGAAAAGATTTCAAAAAATGATAATTCGCTTAAATAGAAAACCATACTTGATGATAGTTGTCATAGGGAGGAGACGGTGAAAGCGCTGCTAATTGTTGTTGATAAAACGAAGATGAACAGCATAGACACGACGAAGTTGCAGAAGAACAATAATATGGATAAAAGTATATGATATTGAAGTAGGTGGCATGTTGTAAGTGTACGAGTATGACGAAGTATTCATGATGAGAAAAATACTAGTTGTCTTCATGTGAAAAGAATGATTGAATTTTATTTTGAATATGCATCATTCTCTACTCGTTTATTTATATCGATCAATGCGACATACTAATTAAAAGCTATTGACTGAAATGTTCTTAATTAGGAGAAATTAGAGAACAAACATTTCTTTCTCTTTTTTTGTCATATTGTGAGAAAAACGAAAGAACACAGCTGTGTTGTAGAATAAAGAAAGAAGATTGAGTTATGGAAACTACATTAGTAAAAGACTCAAACAAGGATCCAGTTTTGGTCTTCAGACAGTTGAGTGTGACTTAAGACATGTGGCACGTTGCACTCGCAACGAAAAGTTTATGAGTCATTCTTTGGTTGAATTCTGTAAACAATAATTGCTGGTACTTTCATCTTTTTTCTGTGATCCTAAATAAAATAACTTCAATATTAAATCATATAAGCAGTTTCCTAACCAATTCAAATCAATGTTGTGATCAATATTGGATTCGACTGATTATTTCACTTTATTCATTAACTTATGCAGTCCTTCATCAGTCTTCCAATAGTTTTTGCTCAGAACGGTTATTAGTGTCGATTTTACTGTATAATTGAAAAAGTTTTATTTGTTGCCTGAGTAATTAGAGAAATATAGCGAAAATGAAGAGACCCGATAACTTAACAAACTGCTAGAAAAGGTCTCGTCTTATGCACCTTTCCGGAAAACTTTGCTTGGAAAACATTTTCAAGTTTCGTAATTGGCGAGGGAGGGCCACCAAGTGTTCAATCGTTTTTGCGTTGAAACTACTTAGATTATGCAGCGCCCAAGGAGCTATGAATACGCTAAAAATATTTTGGGCCGATAGTTTAAGGTTACAAAAATAGGCCATTTCTATTGTATTTTTTAATTATTGCCGTAGCCCCCTCCCTTCAGGGACATTCAAAAATTGATATTCAAAATTTCACTTGAAATTTTATGTAGCAATGCATCTCAACGAGAGTAGTGTGTTTTGAATGCTTTTGATCATTGAATTTATTTGTTTCATTAAATCTGCTACTTCATTTAAAAGATATACAATAAAAATTTCACAATACCCGTGTCTAACGATAGGAATAGTAGAAAGGTNGTTTAAGGTTACAAAAATAGGCCATTTCTATTGTATTTTTTAATTATTGCCGTAGCCCCCTTCAGGGACATTCAAAAATTGAGTTTCAAATTTTCACTTGAAATTTTATGTAGCAATACATCTCAACGAGAGTAGTGTTTTTTGAATGCTTTTGATCATTGAATTTATTTGTTTCATTAAATCTGCTACTTCATTTGAAAGATATACAATAAAAATTTCACAATACCCGTGTCTAACGATAGGAATAGTAGAAAGGTCTGAAACGTTCACAAGACGTTGTTCTCCTTAGCGAGTCTTTCTATGAAAAGGTTCAAGTCAAAATTCGGACATCAATTTTTTAATGTCCCTGTGGGGGGAGGGGGGCCCAGGCACTCAAAAAGGCTCATGCCTTAGAAATGGCCTAGTTTCGTCGCAATAAGCTATCCGCCCAAAATATTTTTAATGTATTCATAACTCATCGGAAGCTACATAATGTAAGTAGTTTCAACGCAAAAGCGATTGAACACTTGGTGACTCTCCCTCGTGAATAACTAACATTAGAAGTTTCTTTTTGTTAAACAATGAATGTATTTTGTAAAGAATGAAGAATCTTCTTGTCAATCTTTCTCCTTTCGATGTTATTGAATTCATTGCTACAAACAAAGATATTATATATATATCATTTAAGAATCAGTCAATGGCTGAGAAAGAAACAGCCGTGTTTATTGGTGACCTTACCTATTTCGACGAGCAACGGGCTGGGCTAACTGTGCTGACGGCAAAGGGCAATCGGGCAAGTCAACATATATAAGACTATTGTCATTACTGCAATAAGACAATGCCGAAAATGAATATCATTATGAAGGACTTCTGCGTTCAATTGATGAATCTACCCGATGAAATACTTCTGATGATTTTTAAGAAAGCGAATCGTGTTGAAATACTCAATTCTATGGTTGGTATAAATAAGCGAATCGATAAAATCCTTTGTGATCCAACCATTACTGGTCGTTTAACACTGATGAGAAATTCAGCAAATGGCCACATTCATCCATTGGACAATGTTATTCTCGATCGATTTTGTTCTCAAACGTTGCCTCAGATTCATCATCATATCCAATGGCTAAATCTCGAGTCATTAACTATGGAACGTATTCTCGGTGCTGCTGAGTATCCAAATTTATGCAGACTTGGTCTTCATCGAATCGACTATAAGACAATGCAACGTCTCTTCAACGGTAAGTCATTTGATTTCGGACCTTTTTGAAAACTATCCAACCGGAAATATTTTATTGACAGAAAAAAACAAATCTTGAGAATGGGCGATTTAATTGAAAAATATCCTAATGGTGAAGTTCCGTGATTGGGTCTGCGCTTTGCCAGAAAAAAAAGTGTCGTGTACGTTCCCATTCAATACTAATAAAGATTCTTATCCACAGTATCTTCAATTGCATATATGTATATAATAGAGATCATGTAACCAGCGAACACCAATTCATCGCACTATATCTGTAGTGGTCTACAATAGAATCATGTTGCATCCTTCACCATAGCTAATAAATAATATAGTAAACATTGTTCTGTTTTTAGATAATACTGATTTCGTTCGTAAGTTCAAAAATAAGATTTCAAAACTTGTCATGTCCATTTATTGCGATGACGATGATAGATTACAAGAAATGATGATAATTCTATTTACTCGCGTGTTGACTGTATTCAAACATTTGATTTATTTAAATTTGCATGGTTCTCTCTTGTTCTATCTTGACGCATTCAGCAGTCGTTCTGCACTTGTGAATTTTTCTTCTTCAACTTTATTGGAATTACACGTTCAAGTAGCTAATTTTAGCGATTGTCTATTTCTACTCGATGGCCGTTTCAATCGACTTCGTTCATTTCATGTCAAAATTAGTGTCATCATGAATCAACAGTTAACAATCGATAATAAAGTAAATTATTTTGTAACAACAAATATTTATTTAAACAAGTATTTTTTGTACAAAGAAATAATTTTAACAGCTTATTACTTTTTCTTCTAGAAAGAATTGCCAAACTTGAAGCACTTCTCAATGATTTCAACTTATGGAACAAACAGTTATTATGCATACATCCTACCGCTTTTATATAGAATGTCTAAACTTGAAACATTAACTTTGGACCTCTTGCTCGATATGGAAACAGCATTTATTGATGGCAATCGTTTAAAAACGGACATTATTAATCGATTTCCATTATTGAAGAAATTCCTTTTTTACATTTACTCTTTATTACTAATTGACAATCCAAGTAGTCTACCATCAAATGAAGATATTATGCGTACATTCGTAGATTTCAACGATTATGAAATAACCTCTCGTGTTGATTATTTTTCAATGAACAAGAAAAGTCAGTGTCTTATTTATACGAATCCGTATAGAAAGACACATTATTATCGTATAACAAACAATTTTTCCGGTGGATTATTCAAATACGTTGAAAAAATATCATTATTTGATGAACGTCCGTTCGAACACGAATTTTTCATTCGACTTGCAAAATCGTTTCCACTATTAAGAAGACTGGAGTTATCGAATATGACACCGCAAAATAATAAAAAAAGTCAAGAAGCAAATAATGATAATCGACGTTTCGAAACTATTGAATATCCTCATATGACTGAGCTATCTCTGGTTAGTATACATGATGATTATCTCGAACAATTTTTAGATCATACCAAAACATGTCTAGCGAATAATATTAAACTTTATATCTTCTATGAAAATCTACAAACAGGAACACGTAATTTTACAAACGATGCAACTCGAATCAATTGTGGCAGATTGGAATATCTCTATCTTTTTAATGTACGGAATTATTCGAAACCTTGTAGTGCGTATTTTCCTAATTTAAAAGCTGTTTATTACTAATTATTGAAATAAAATCGATGGAATATACTGAAACCGTGATTTTGACACAGTTCAATACGTTATTTATATATTGTTCTGAAAAAGAAATTGATTCAAATAACACAATTGATGTGTCTTCGCTGCTGTTGCTGCTGCTTCTTTTGATTTTGAGGAAGCCGAAATTTAAGACAAGGAAGAAAATTCATGCCACAACAGAGTGAAGTTGAAAATGAGAAGACCAATTATGTTTAGATTTTTCCATAAAATTCTGATCGAACAAATATTGAAGCAAGAATCATATGAAAGAAATATAGCAGAAAAAAATTTGCCAGCTTCAGAGAGAAATCATTCACATTCATATTCATACAGCTGCTCCTGATAACACAGATTCGTTTCGCATCATAGTAAATCCATGTGACAAAAACTCCACGATAACAATGAGTGTCCTGTTCTATGATACTGAGTTCTTCTCTTTGCTTGAGTTATGCTTCGATAAACTTCCATTGTTAGGTTCCTCTTTACATATTCTAATGTTTTCGTACAACAATCAATCTTGATAGAGTGTTAACCGTTCAAAAATGTTTATTATTCCTAAAGATTTCATTTCATATAAGTGATGATACCAATTTTTCTCTTCTGATAGCTGTCACTTTGGCAAGTGCATACAAATAATATCGCTCAACTTGCAACTATCAATATAATAATACACATCATATCTCATAAGATAATACAAGCACACCAAATGACACACATTCTTCATAAAAGATCATGTTAATAGAATTTTCAATTACAACATCAACATATTCTATCTATATTTTCTAATAATCTACATGGCACAGCAAACTTTTTTCTCAAATATAAAATAGAAGAATAATATCAAGATGAATACAATATATAAAAGTTTGTTAAGTGATAGAGACAGAATCAAGCACAGTGAACTGTCTTGTTAATATTGGAGTATGCTCGTATTAATGAAAAATGTATGGCAACTTGCTATTTTCGACTCTTGAAAACCAATCATATGTTAATAAATGCTCAACATTACGATTGATCGTGTTCTACTTGTCCCTAACTTCATATGACTACTGAAATCAAGTTGATCATCAAATGAGAGTTAGTCAACGTTCGTGCTTGTTCATGTGCTCGAAAAACTTTCTGTGTAGAAAAGTTAGATTAAATACAATTTCAAAAAATTAATTGACACGGTTTTGTTTTTCTAAGATATTCATTGGATCTCTAAATTGATTTCTTTTATGTGCTATCATATGATTCATTGAACAAAAATAATTCCGCTTGATTTGATACATCATTTTGGATTTTCCTTTAAGTTTGGATTATTATTTATTCCTTAATAATGAGTTCAATAATAATAAAATATACTATATAACAATATAGACATACAATGCAGACTACCAGCACTTTTATAAAAGTAGCAGAGAATTAAAAATAATCATAATCTTTAATAAATCTGTTCGCATTTTATAATGACATGAACTGCTTCCTTATTGTAGTTTGAGAGAGATATGTAAATGATTGGTAACTAATGTATAATAAAGTAGATCGAACAAAGCAGCTTTCAGGTGATCAGCAGGAACAGTTATATTGTGATGTATATTTTAATCCCGCAAAGAATTCTTAAGCAGCTTTTAATATCGAATACTATTTATTTGTTATTGTGCTAGATAATTACTGAAATTTTCTTTTCAATTTAATGCTGATTCTCATTTGGATGAAAAGACATGATACTATAACACTCAACACAAATCCAGAGTTATTTTCATAGAAAAAATGAAACTATTTGACATGAGTAGTGATTCTCAAGTATTCGTTCTAACATTAATGCTTAGAAGTAAAAAAATCTCCACAAAATTGTTTTCTCCGAGATAATCTAGGATATTGCCTAAGTTGATTTATTAACATAAAAAGCAGTGAAAACGATCATTATTTTTCTCCGAGATAAAGTTTCCTTTTGTTTTCAATTAATAATATTAATATCCTTTGTTCAGATGTCTATTTTATGACCATGATGGAATCATCAAGGATTTGAAGATCCAATATTTTTTTACTGAGTATAAACTAAACGTATGCAATTCAAATGCACTGTTTCCAGTTGAAAATCATTTTGACGTTTATCGAAGCAAGTTATAATTGTTGTTTAGCAAAGATCGAGAGACAATGAAATGATTTTTTTTTAAAGATTATATCATATGTTCTGCTTTACCCTGAAGACAAGAGAAGGCGAAATTTTCATGTATGACTCATCTTCAAGGTGGGGGCGGCAGTGGGGCAAAAGTTGCCCTGTAACGGTCTTTGACTTATATTGTATTTATCATTTAGCGATACGAAAATGATTTTTTTTTCGATTCACGCATGGTACGCATCATACATCAAAGATAATAATAAACAACAGAATGAGAGAATAAAATTTGTTAGACCGCAACTTTAGTTAGTAATACGCTAGATACGAAATGAATTTACTACATTCATCTAGGGTTGAACTGAAAATAAACAGAGAAAGAAAGAGAATCAAAGAAGTCATTGGAAATGATATATACAGTGATACGATAATATGGTGTTTTTATTTGTAAACGATTTCTTCTCATGATGTGACTTCCCATGTAATAAAAACCGCATGAAAATCGGCGGTAAACCGCGGTTTTACCGGTCCGGTTACCGGCTCTCATTACCGCAGAACGGATAAATACCGCGGTTTACCGCAAAAATTGATCCGGTATTCGCAACATGGGATGCCACAGATCCGAAATTTTGGAGATGCCACAGCATCTCACGGTGGAGCCGCCGCATCTCTTGCGGGAGATGAGATCGCCTCCCGGTGGACATATGCTCACATGCTGAGAGATATTNACCTGGGGTCCTTTTAGATGCAACCCGGTGATCTTGGGGCCCCCCCGGCGCCCAATGGACAAAATCGCCCCCCCCCCCCATCTCCCGATCTCGAGCACGATCATTAACTCAAGCTGGTTCAGTAAGATTTTAAAGTTAAAAATAATTAGCATGAAGTTGCATAATTTTATTCTCGTTTAGGAAATACAACAACATGCATATGTTCCAGTTCAGCCTCGATGTAAATTATACATAAAAAATTTATGTTGATTTTGAATAAAAGTTTCTTCTAGGTGATGCTCGACTACCACCCACCTCGTCCGTAAGTTTTTGTTTTATGTTCATTTAATAGTAATTCTAATGAATTATCGAAAACACCTAGAATCATTCATTTGCCCAAATCGGTTGAAAGAAAAAAAAGTTTTTTTCGGCGCTCTCTGAAACTTATTTCATATGCAGTATTATTCTAGTCTATATCCCGGAAATTTGTTTGAAGTTGTAGAAAAATATGTGAGCTTTACGATGATGTTAACATTTTCGAAGTCGAAAATATAGATCTTTGAAAAATTAGGTTTTCAGTGATCTATTTAAAAGTATATAGAATAATTGATTTAACTTGAGTGTGGTAAATCGAATTTTTAATAGGTGCTTCTGGAAAATTGGTGCAGTCCAATCCCGGGATAATATTTAAAAATCAAAACATAGTTATGCAGAATAATGTTTGCACTACATGTTTGGCAGCAAAGTTTTTTCTCAAATATAAAATAGAAAAGTTATAGAAGAATAGAAACGAACTATCAAAAAATTTACCCCACCCGACTCAACCCAGGTCGAACAGTACGGCCTGTATACGGCCGTTTACGGTTACTTTACGACTATTTTCCGGGTGAAAGTTTGCCGTAATATCTAGCGCAGTAATACAGTCCGTATGATTATGAGAGTGCGAAGCACAAACAGCCGTAAACCATGAAAATTCAGTCCCGTTTACAGTGCCAGGTATTATGGGCAAATACGGCCTATTTATTGCCGTAAAGATACCGTTTTGACATCGTTTACCGTCGACAAACAGACCGTAAACGAGTCCATTTTGATCAACCTGGGTATAGATACTCAGTTATATGAATGTAAAACAATGTCAGGTCATTCGTCCTTCTCAACATCTGTTTTATCCTTTTCGTCTCATTCGTTAATAGTCAATTGCCTAGGCAACGAATATAGCAAGATGAATAGAATAAGAATAGAACATAGAACGATTGACAAAGTCATTGTGTTGGTCGCTTGAGTTGGAAGAAAAATATCGTTTATGTGTAAAGAAAAATATTCATCCTATATTCGTTGGGATCATGTGAGTATCATCATTCTTCTGTGTTGTTCAATGAGAGAACTATAGATTATTTATTTGATCCGATATGTAGTATTTGATTTCTTCACGAAAAGAATTCATCATACAGTCTACAGAGAAAATTTAGAGTTTTAGTATCAATCTAATGAAAATATTCCATACGAGACTTTCATAACTTTCAAACATTGATATTAAAGTGTAAATTAATTAGAATTAGAAAACGTAGAAACTGATCCCAACTAATGACACCTTTCTTTCACCCAGTTATTTATGTTTTATTTTCTCATCAGAAAAATAAATACTCTTTTTCTTTATAATAATAATAAATTTTAATCATAGGATTTTTTCAATTAGTAAGAAAAATAAGAATAATTCGAAATTTAAACCGAAAAATTATTTCGACTTCAATTTGTAGTTATTTATCTAGTTCTTTTATAATGGAATAAATAATGAATTTCTACTAGAGCTTTCGACTCAATACAGTAAAGTTATTTTCAATATTAATAGTTGACTTTATCTCGTTGAATATGTTGTTGAGTTCATCAACTACAAATTGAAGTCGAAATAACTTTTCATTTTAAAATTTCGAATTAATTTTATTTTTCTTATTATTTGAAAAAATCCTATGATTAAAATTTATTATTATTATTAAGATTAGTAGTTCCATAGGTAAACTTATGCTCATGCTATTATTATATCGATTAAATCAGAACATGTACAACAAAATCAAGTCAAAGCAACATCTGCAACATGATGAACTCAACAACATGTTCAACAGGATGAAATCAACTGTTTTTATATTGAAAATGACTCCACTGTATTGAGTCGAAAGTTCTAGTAGAAATTCATTATTTCCCAGGTCGAACATTCCGGTCCCGGAAACGGCGGATTCTGTGGTATTCCGGAGATTTCATGGAAGTAGTATTCCGGTGAATGGATCCGGTGGCCGGATTTATCCGGTTCCGGTCGGAATTGACAGGAACCTGTCAAAACTGGTAGCCGGATACGGTTTCCGGATTCCTGCATCGAATTGTGGACAATTCCCGGTGGGTTCCGGCCGGAAACAGCGAGTTTCTGGCAGGCTTTCGCCGGAAATTCACGGAATACTTCTTCAGGAATCATTGTCCTGGGTTATTCCATTATAAAAGAACTAGATAGATAACTACAAATTGAAGTCGAAATAATTTTTCGGTTTAAATTTCGAATTATTCTTATTTTTCTCTTTTTCTTTGTTTTAGCTCGAACTCCTCCACCTGTTTTACCAAGCACAACTGCTGTCATCTCATCAACATCAACGACAAGTCCTCTCCCGTTTAGAAACACAACAACAACAAATCCTGACCCTTCCCAGGTGCATGAATCCAACAACGGATCTTATCGAATCATATGGGATCCGACTCTCCGACAGAAACCGATAAGATTCCTAAACACGGATCTATTGTCGGTCCCGGCGGAAAAAATAATTTTCTTATTCACGATCAAATAAGCATTTTGAGCCATCAGAGCGCAAAGGTGATTCGATAGAGTTGGATCCCATTAAAATCCGACATCGGATCTGATCGGATCTAATACCAAGGATTCGACTGTAAGTCCGTGTCCAGGAATCCTATAAGATTTCGTCGGTTTTATTGAACCACATATGATATTCGGTATATTCACTGTCTGACCCTTGTCGGAATCCAATAGGATCCTACTGTCGGAATGATTCTCCTGGGTTCTTACCAGCCAACAAGAATAACAACGTCAAATCTTGGCCCTTCTCTCTCCCAATCAACAACAATAAACAGCCTCTTTCCATTTTCTTCTTTTTTTCTCAAATAAAAGTTGAAAATTTAGTCAATTTTTTTCATCAAATGGTGATACGGCAGTAGAATCAACCGTAATTTTACTTTTTCCAATTAACACAAAATTCTTCTCTTCGGAAATAAGTACTATCATTTATCTATCGGCAGGGAATAATGAGAGATCCTTCACTGAGGTGAAAAATATACTCTTATTTAAAAAGATCTTATTCTATTGGAAATAAATCCAAGAGCATATATGGTGTGAGTGTGGGAGTTACTATCATGAATAAAACCACATCCACACAGATCCTAGTACTACAAAATGAATGGGTAACATTTATCAGGCGATTAAATAATGTCATTTATCCGTTATAAAGTATTGATTTAGTAGAAAGAAAATATATAAATGTAGAATAAACACAGTCAATTGATAATGAAATAAAACAACAATACTCTTTGATTATTTATTAGCTATCCTATTCAATTGGCAAACAACTAAAAATAATAAAACAAAGTATCCAATAAATGCATAAACAAAATGATGAAAAAAAATCTACTTCTTTGTCTTTATGGATAGCTCTAAATAAATCCCTATATTCAATCGAACAGTCATATAGTGTAAAAGCAATCATTATGGATAGTGTCGTGTATCACCAGAAATGCATTTCATGTTGTATCAAATTTTCATTGGTTTTAAACAAGAATTTTTTTGATAAAGTTAACTTGGTTTGCAGCGTCGTGGTATTGCAAAGTGCATCCATAGTAGAGAAAGAAGAATATGCACAAAACTCCTTTACGTATTCAATCTACTGAATGACATAGGTTATGTTGTATTTACTATAATGATACTGTAAAATTTCAATTAGTCAGTTCAATTATATTACTAAATGTGTTCAAAGTAATTCGATATCGTTCAATTGACAACAGAGCAAGTTTTGTCTTTCAATAAAATATCAGCTTCTAGCGCCATCTTATAGAAATCGGTGTGAAGCACAACGCGTATTAGTAAACAGTAATTAATCAATGAAAACACAAGGATAGTCGAACGGTAGACTAGGTTACTTTTAACAGTATATTCGAGCGTGATATTTATCGAAATGAGAATTCGGCTAGGACGCACACTTCGACTTTTCATTGCTCTGGGTTTTCTTATTCTTGTGATACCATTTTTAATGTTCAAACTGGAATCTAGTAATACTGAATTAGCCCCGGCACCAAATGGACTTGATTATCCACAAGTATGAAAAATTCTTTTTTTGTATGAATCCTTGATTTATTCTATTTAGGAAAAAAAACTGAATCTTGATGCTGAACCTATTCGAAAACTTCTTGACCCATCGAACAATGTTAGTTTACAACCAATAATGAGTAATTCATTAGGAAATTATGAGCCCAAAGATTTACCAAAAAGAACTGGACCAGGAGAAGGAGGTAAAAAGACACAACGTTTGAACATGTGAGAAAAGTCAAGTTTTATTTCATTATTGTACCAATAGGTGAACCTGTTGTACTTTCGCCGTCAGAAGAGAACGATGCACAAAGATCAATTAGAGAATATGGTTTTAACATGGTTGTTTCAGATAAAATATCCATGGATAGACGTATCAAAGATACCCGACCAGACGAGTATGATTTCAGAATACTTATTTAGATATTATTGATTATACTTCTTCGTTTAGATGTAAAAATTGGATTTATCCAAATTCACAATATTTACCAACAGCTTCAGTTATTCTTGTCTTTTATGACGAAGGATGGGGTGTTCTTTTACGTACTGTGCATAGTGTAATCAATACTTCACCGTCTGAACTATTAAAAGAAGTTGTTCTTATTGATGATGGTAGCACTGATGGTATGAATTTAATTCAAACTTTTCGCTCTATTTCATTTAGCGAGTGATTATTTGACAAAAGGTTTTCTTGTATACAAACATAATTTTTTTAAAGTCTTAGTTTCGATAATATGCTCAGAGGTGACTCGTATGTTAATTTTCGATACACTGAGAATTAAACAGATATTATTTCCAAGAGACAGTATTGTCAATTCTCTTGTTTTCCATGGCGAATAGACCTATAAAGTGAACTCAGTCACTAGTGATCTATACCTCATATTTTTGTACTTCTAGCTTCTTTACAAGAGAAATTGGAAGAATATATTAAACGTTGGAATGGTCTTGTGAAACTCTATCGAACGGGCAAGCGTGTTGGTCTAATTGAAGCACGTACAATCGGTGCACAAAAATCAATGGGCGATGTTATTATTGTTCTCGATGCTCATTGTGAATGTGTATGTTGTAAACAATAATTTCAACACAGAATGAAAAGAAAGAAGACTCCAATTTATTATTTTTTTGTTAGGTTATTAATTGGCTTCCACCTTTGTTAACACGCATTGCACTCAATCGAAAAGCAGTAGCCGTTCCGATTGTTGATGGGCTAGAATGGAATACGTTAGAACATAAAAACATCTATGGTTCGACTAATTATCGTGGTATTTGGGAATGGGGATTTTTGTATAAAGAAACTCAAATACCAGATCAAGAAGCGAAGAAAAGAAAATATCCATCAGAACCTTACTGGTAGATTTTCTTGTTTTGTTTGCTTGTTTGTTTGTGTTCAAAATATTGTTATTATTAGGTCACCAACACATGCTGGTGGTTTGCTAGCTATTGATCGTCAATGGTTTTTTGAATTGGGTGCATATGACCCAGGGATTAAAGTATGGGGAGCTGAACAGTAAGTTTAATCCTAAATGATTTTCTCGCAAGTGTAAATATCCCTTAAAAACTTTAGATATGAACTTTCATTTAAAGTGTGGCAATGTGGTGGTGTTGTCGAATGGGTACCTTGCTCACATGTTGCGCATGCCTATCGAGGTCCTCGAAGTCATCCATCGCATGTACCTGGAACAAGTCCATATCAAACCTCAATAAATCATTTACGTGTAGCTCATGTATGGATGGATGAATATGCTGAATATTATTATAGGCGTGAGCCAGCTATTCGTAAATTAAAATTTGGTGATATATCAGAAAGAAAGAAAATTCGAGAAAAACTACAATGTAAATCATTTAAATGGTTTATGGAAACTATAGCATATGATGTTTTGGAAAAATATCCACCACCATCGAGCAATGTTGGCTGGGGTGAAGTAAGATATAAGAAGATTTTGCTTAACCTATGACACAAAAACAAGAATCAATCTAAAATTTTAGTGTAAAAATGTTCAACATTCCGTTTGTTTAAATGATCTTGGTGCTTCATTTGGTCAACCAATTGGTGTTTCTGGTTGCTATGGACAGGTATGACTGACTGATGGAAATAAAGATTTCAAAAAACTAATGAGCAAATTGCGTTTTGTATTATTCTAGAAGTGGATAAATAGAATAATTAGTCCATATATGAGAGGATTGGTGAATAAATAGATATCGCTTTTCTCTTGTTTGAGTAATCCTGTTTGAATTTGATAATCACCTTAATCTATATATATATATATTTAATATATTTATATATATTCCATGAGAGAAAAAAGCAAAACACATAGATTTTGGAAATCGACTTTTCTAAAATAAATTTTGTCCCACTGTTAAAATAATTGTCGAATAAAAAAAATCTTATAAATGTGTTAGACAACTTCTCTTTCATTCTCTGTGTTATTTACGTTTTACATAATGCCTCGAGTATTTTCTGAGTCAATATAGAACAAGATTATGTACAAGTTTCTTTTTATTTGAATGAATTAATCCATCAAGTAAACACTTAATCAGGCCGAGACAAGAACGATTACGTTATTCAAGAAGAAAAAAATACTTTTCCTGTGCAACCGTAATTTAAGCTATTTGCTAATACTCGATATATATATCAAAACAATAGTTAGCGGTTAATTCATACTCATTTATTTCTATTATAAATTTTGATAAGCAATATCTTTTATTAATATAACAATCAAATTCACCATATTTCTTGCTTTTTTCTCTGTGGTTATATATTTGTTGTGCGCACACTGATGAAATTATTCATTTAAAGTTTAAATTTTAATATTGATTCTCTTTTTATTCAAGGCGTCTTGGCGTTTGAATGAAGGAGGTGAAATTGCGTCTGGTGAACATTGTTTCATATCTGATCATGATATCGTAAAGAAAAAATTTTGTTTGGAATATGATGGCCGTTGGAATCCGATTGGCGAATGGCAATGGGATAATGTAAGAAGCGTTTACGCTTTAAGAAAAAGCAACATTTTAATTATAATTGTTTTCTTGTTTAGAAAACGCAACAAATTCGAAGCAATAAAGAACATTTATGTATGGAAACAAATGGTCGTAATTTAAAATTAGCAAAATGTGATGAAGACAACAAATCACAAAAATGGATCTGGAGGGAAACTTACTACTGATAATTCTTTTTGATTTGCTTTCAGGTTAACAATTGTCCATTTTTTATTTATATATCGTCCGAAAAAAAGATCTTCATCAAAGTAAAATTGATATATATATTTATACGTCTAGTTTTTTTGTTCGAAATCATTGCTCTTGTTTTATTTATTTAAAAAATGTTAATTGAGTTTCTTAATAAAATCTCTTTTTTAAATCATGTTGTTGTTTAAATATTCAATCGTTTTACGAGTATATATGAAGATCAGGACGCAATTTCATCTAAGAAAAATCATTAATGGTCACATAGTAAAAATGCCATGGTACATAATCGGACGAACGTAAAGTTCACTGTTAATAGAGGTTTTTCAAAATGAATCGCTGTTTTGTATTGCACGGTACAGCATGTTGTAGTTCTATTACTAATCAAGCTTTGTTATCGTATGATCAACTCAATTGAACCTAGACATTGATAGTATTTAAATTGGAATTGCTACGTAGTTCACAATAGGATCGATCTGAAAGTTAAGATCAAAACTAAATTCTCGCCCTGAAATCTATATTGGTTATATATGAATTTTTATTCATGGGCTAGAACGGATGGAAGACGATTACTGATATAATAAGCAGTTTTCTTGGTGAACAAATGTCGTGCAGAAAATGTTCTCTTTCAAAGCAAGAAAGCTGTCTCCATTTATCAATCAGATGTACTTGAAGAAGGAATATCAGGAAATAGAAATCTAAAAGGTTTTGTCTGATATTCAACTCTGATAAACGATTGGACGCTGGCACATCTTAAATCGGAATGATTAATTGAGAGTGTTCTCTCGTTTTAGAATCTATCGGATGATGATCCAAGAGAATTCAAGTATATTTCTATAATCAAAAACTGTGATGCTTCTATTATTAAACATTGTGTTATAGAAAACTTGCAGCGTAAAATAATGCACATTGCATGAAGATATCCTCACTACATATATAATTCAGTTGTCTTCAAAAACGTTTTTCTCCGTAGTGGAGTCAAAGTACTCTCAAATCATATCGATCCTGATAATTTTAAGATACTCATTGATCCGAATGCAAAGATCTCAAGAAGGAAAAATAAAACAATTGAATACGAACTTGCTCCCCTTATTTTATAAATTATCTATTCTTGTGACCTAATGAATCTGTCTATATTTTGTAACAGACAGTTAATTATTAGTGGTTTATTTAGATTATTTTCTTATCGCGCCAAATTTGTTTCAGATGCTTTTAATCGGCGATTCTCTTTTACATCATGTTCGCAAACCAACTACAACACCCTCTGAATCGGTTGAAACTCATATTGAATCGATCGGTGGTTGTACAATTGATCGTTTAATAGCTCTCGTCCAACAAGAACATTTTGGATCGTTGTTTAGAAATCAAAAACATCTAATAATTGCGATTGGTACAAATACTTTGGCACGTGAAAAATCTCAGTCGGCTATTGTTAAATTCGAAACATTACTTCGTTTAATTCTTCGAAAATATTCATATTTAACAACAATTGCTGTATGTACTGTACCAGATCGAACAAAAACAAGCGTGTTTTTTCGTACCTATGGCGATAATGGTGGAAAGTCAATACGTAAACGGATTAGAAATTATAATAGAAAATTAAAAAAATTACGAAAGAATCAAAATAAATCAAAACGTTTTTCAATTATAAAATTAGACTTTGATTTATCAGTGCACGTATCAAGTGATGGTTTACATCCAAATGCCATGGGTATTGAACATTTATCAAGTGCTTTACAAAATTATGCAGATACACTAAAGATTACATGATCTATCAGATTTGCCCTTGTTTATGATTTTGTTTGTTTTCTTTTTATGTATTATGTAGACGTCTGATACAGGTGAAAAATGGAGGCCATTCACATTTATTTCATTGTTATGCTTTTTAGAAGAATGAGAAGTTTGTCAAGGTTCATATTTGGAAAAAGAAAAGACAACAGAAAAGCTTAATTAACTTATTTTTTTTATCGAAAATGCAATTGTAATGATGATTCAAAGTTCTAAATGTTCTGAGAACAAAATCTATTGAAAGTAGAATTCGACATGTATGATGATGTTCTTAATTCGCTTGAATCAAGCATTCATATGTGAAATTTATTTAAAAAAAATGAATAGACCTGACATAAATGCACGAACAATTTCCTTGGGTCGGTAATATGGTGATGTTTCGTACTGCAGATTCAATTCATGTAATAATAAATAAGTGTAGACTTCAGAACGAGTTTCATCTGAGTAGTTCGGATTATGTTTTTCAAGGCTCAGAGAGTAACAAGCGTACGAACATATTTTTGTTTTACGAAGAACGCCATTGCAATTAATAATGATGTTGAATACTAACATAAACAAGATTTAGCCTGTTTTAAAGAAACTCTTTGTTAAATTTTGAATGATATTTGAAGAAACTCGAGATAAGTTATAATCGCCTTACTTGCCAATTAACAAACTGCAAGTAGAAATGCAAGCAAACAAAAGTTTCGTATTTTAGTTTAGTATAATGAAAATTTTATGACAATCTGATGATTTTAATGACTCACATAATATATATATATATATATATCCGTGCAGTACCGCAAGAATTTTAAATAACCAATAGAAAAAAAGTCTTTATAATTTTAATTCATGTATCGATAATCGATTGCATTTTTCTATTAGAACGGTTAAGTTATGCGAGAAGTTTTCATGTAATATTTCAGATACTAATGGCCACATCTGATTCATTTATTATGGATTCAATGAGTGATTCCTTATTAGCAGCGGTAACTGAAACATCTTTTTATGGAGTGCATCATCCACCAGTTGCTGGTAAGTTTCTTTTTTTTTATTCCAATTCGAGAAATAATAAGTTCTCATTTTCTGTATTTAGAAAAACCCCCAAAACCTTTAAACGAGCTCAGTTTACCGTCTGCTGTTATTAATTGTTATCAGCGTTCTGGTATATCCCATCTTTTTGCATGGCAAGCTGAATGTCTTGAAAAAGCCAGCGCAAGCGGCAAGTATACTCTTCGATTTGCCACCTTGTTAAAATCAGTTTCTTTTGTTTTTATAGGAAAACGTAATTTTATATTTTCCGCTCCAGGTTTGTTCTTTGAAAAGCAATATTTTCATCTATTTTTGTTTGTTGAAATATGTTCATTTTCATAGCTTCAGCTGGTAAAACAATTGTATCTGAATTACTTCTAATAAAATCAGTACTTGAAACCAAACGCAAAGCTTTGTTTATCGAGCCTTACGTTAGTATTGTTCAAGAGAAAGCAAATTATTTTCGAGTGAGCCTTTCTTTTCCCATCTTTTATATTTGATGAAAACTACTAACAAATTCAAAGTGTAGAAACTTTTCTCATCGCTTCATTTACGCATCGCATCCTACGCTGGTTCAAGTGATTCTCATCATGCATTTTCTAATAGTCATATTATAATATGTACCATCGAAAAAGCGAATAGCATAATAAATCGTTTATTAGCAAATCGTGATGATTTAAATGAAATCGGCATTATTATTGTTGATGAATTACATTGGATAGGTGAAACGAATCGGGGATATCTACTTGAATTACTATTAAGTAAAATAATCTATTATAATCATTTACCAGCAACTATGAATCCGGTACAAATTATTGGTATGAGCGCAACAATACCTAATTTAAATCAATTCGCAGAATGGTTGAACGCAGAAATCTATGAAACAACATTTCGACCAATACCACTTGAACAATATGTTAAAATTGAATCGATGCTATACAATAAACAGTTTATGCCGATACGTCAACTTCAGTTTTCCGATCAATGGAATCAAGGTGACAGTGAAGGCATAACGGAAATTATTTGGAATGTTATTGAACATAATTGTCGAAGTGTATTGGTGTTTTGTTCTACAAAACATTGGTGTGAAGTTTTAGGAAAATTATTAGCAAAAAATTTCCGACGAATTATGGATGATAAACAAATACATCCATTTGATAATGCTAAACTTGAAGATGTCATCGAACAATTACGTAGAACTGTAAATAGATTAAGAGTCAGTTTTTATTTTATAGTAACTATGATTTTTATAGCCAGCGGGTCTTGATGCTGATCTTGCGTGTTCGATACCAATGGGTGTTGCTTTTCATCATGCTGGTACGCATAGAAATTTCTTTTGTGGTAGATCGATTGAATATATCTACGATTGTTTTAGGTTTGACAATTGATGAAAGAGAAATTATTGAAAATGCTTATCGTGCGAATAGTATTCGTGTTATTGTTTGCACAAGTACACTATCTACTGGGGTAATTATAAAATCGTGTTATATTCCTACGCTGGAGATTTTCCTGTTTCTGTTGAAAAAAAAGGTCACGAGATTTTTGTTTTTAAAAGCGATCTAAAAAGAGTATCGACGTGTGAAGTTCTTATGTTACTAGGTTAATCTTCCTGCTCGGCTAGTGATTATTCGAAGTCCACTGCAAAATGGTCGATGTATTGAACTAAGCACATATCTTCAAATGGTATGATGACGTTTGTTTAAATTTTTGAATTCAAACTTTCTTTTTTATCAGGTTGGCCGAGCTGGTCGAAAAGGTTATGACGATTACGGTAAAATGAATGACTTGTTTTATTTTGAATTTATTAGTTCCTTTTTTAATATGCTCAGCTGAAAGTATTTTAATTTGTTCAAAAAAAGAAGTTGAACTAGTGCGGAAAATGTTCGAACAACAAAAGACGAAACCAGTGAATAGCTGTTTTTTCGAAGCCGAAACTCATACAAGTGTTAAACGAGCTTTGTTGGAAGTTATTTCAAGTGGAAAAGCCAATACGAAAGAACAAATTATTTCTTATATTCAATCGACATTTTTCTATATTTGTTCGAAATCAAATAAATCCATCATTGATGAACAATTAACAATCGATAAATGCCTTCGATGGTTATGCGACAATGAACTCATTCATTGTATAGATAAGGAAAATAGTGCCAGTGAAAGTAGTTTACGATATGAACCAACACAACTTGCTTTGGCGATTATTAGCTCATCAATCAGTCCGGATGATGGACTTAAACTTGTCGTTGAGTTAAATAAAGCTCAGCGAAGTCTATGTCTCGAAAATGATTTACATCTCGTCTATCTCGTAAGGATACTTCCTCGTAAAATAGTCACGATATAAAAATAAAATAAAATCTAGATCATTCCTCAACATTTGATAAATTCGGTTTTGACAACTCTCGATTGGAATGTATTTCATACTGTTTGGCCAACTAGTGCCGTTGAACAACATGTCGCACATTTAGTTGGCGTTAATGGTATGGTTGTATATAAAAAAGCAGCATCATTACGTATTGAAAAACGCGAATATGAAGAAAAATTAGATGGACCACGTTATGCAAGATTTTTTATTGCACTTATTCTAAATGATTTGTTATCGGAAAAAAGTATGTGTGATGTGATACGAAAATATGAATGTACAAAAAGTTTCGTACAACAATTGCAACAAACCACAGCTACATTTACATGTATTGTACAAATATTTGCTGAACATCTTTCATGGAACAATTTAAAACAATTACTAAACGGTTTTCAATCAAGATTAAATTTTGGTATTAAACAAGTAGGAGGTTTTTTGGTAAAATTCATTTGAAAAACAAAAATCTGAATTTTAATCAATAGGAATTATGCGAACTTGTTCGAATTTCGATTTTAAATGCTTGTCGAGCTCGACAACTTTATTCAGATGGTTTTACGACTCTTGCGTCTTTAGCCAATGGAGATGCCTATGAAATTGAACGAAGTATTAAAAAAGCAGTTCCATTTCAAACGTAAGAATTCTATGTTGCTGATTAGATAGCATAGATAAAATTCTATTTAGAACAGCACAACAATTAGCTGATGAACGTCAAGGCCAAACACGACAGGATCGATATTGTATATTTGTACCTGGTCGATCACCATTAACTAATGCCCAAGCAGCACGAGAAATTATCGAAGAAGCTAAAGTTTTACTTCAGCAAGATTTACAAGCTATGGGCTTTGGTATTGTTATTCAAAAACCACAGAATGGCAGTAAAGGTAGATTTTACTTTGAATAACTTAGCGACATAGAACTAGATAGCCTAGAAACAAAATATTCTGTTCCATGAGGTTAACTAGAATGAATCAGAAGAATTCAATAGGAAATACTCAGAAAATCTGATTTCTGGGTACAAGCTCGGGACTTAATTAGAATTCGAAGACACCTCATCTTGATTTTCCAGACTTCGCTCATGTATACTCTCAACTTTCAGTGAATAATTCTTCAGTTGAAGAGTTTACTCTTTATTATATTGTTTAGCAGAAGAACATGTGTCAAATTCAGATACAGATTCCGATGGCGAGGAAAATGAAAATGAAAGGGATTTATCTCCGCCAAGATTATCTTCGACTATTCAATTTCCATGTTTGCTTGATGATAAAAATATAAATATTCGTAATGCTTATGTTGATGGAAAATATATTTGTTCAGAATTTATTCTAATGATTGAACATAAAGAAACGATTGCTATTAGTTGTTTTACTAAGAAGATAAAAAAAATGAATTCAGGTAAGTGATTTTGATAATTATAAATTTTCGGATTATTTTATTTTTCTTCATTAGATCCATCGGTTTTTCATATTAACAATCAAGAAGAATTATATCTACAATATGTGGCTTGTGCTTTCAGTATTCATAAAGTTTATATAATTGATGTTGCAGAAGATGAACAATGTAAGATACCATTGCCTTGAAGTAAGGATTCTCTATTAGAATTTTTCATGTGCAAAAACAGAAGGTGATGATTACGAATGCCTTAACTAACAAGACCTTATCGGACTGTATAGACATATAGATTGAATATTGGCATTTTGAACTGTGATTTTGCTCACCGGCACGTCTATTTATGAGTAGAAAGCCTATGAAAGATTTATTATTTTGAGTTACTGTATACTTCATTCTGGTTTGTCTTGTGCACAAAGTCCGAATTCAAAAGTGACTTTACTGTTGGAGAGGTTTCCTCGTCAGTGAAGACTAAAGCGAATTAATTAGATCTGTAAATCGATCGATATCACTCAAATCACGGTCATTTGTGTCGTTAGCAAAAGTTCTTAAACTAAAACAAGAACTTTCTTTTTAGACTTTCAACAGCATCGAATGTCGGCTCTTATTCACATTCGAGAAAAATTAATGAATCGAAAACATAATGCCGTTGTATTCAATGCATTACATACATTATTTACACTATCATCTTATTTAGCTATACCTAGAGTATATGGTTCGTTTCTGTGCTTTGCATATTTTTATTTATAGCTTACAAATTTTCTTTAGCACGAATCATTGACCTACAAATATGTGCATGGCTAAAACAAGATCCGATTGAATTCGATCGAATCTCAACTTGGATTGAAACACATCATTGTGTATTGAAATTTGATAGTAAGCGGACTAAATTCTTATATATAATGATTAAAATGATTTTCTATTGATAGAAAGTCTTGATGCCTATAAAGACGATGATCATCGTGAAATGGCATGCTTAAAAATTGCCGGTGAAGTTCTTCTCTATGCATCGATTGTTCCAAGAATTGAACAACAAATGAATAAAATTAATCTATGGAATTATTATGTAAATATTGAAATGCCAGCATTGAATATTATTCTGCAAATGTTACTCAATGGCGTTCTAATTGATCGTGAAGAATTGATTAATGCACGAGAAGATCTTCTAGTATATAATTTTTTTTATTAATATTTATTGATTTCTCATTGATTATAATTGATTTTTAGACTCTAATGAATAAACTTGAATTACAAGCATATCGTTTAGTTAAACGTCGTTTTAAAATGAATAGGCAAAAAGATCTTATCAGAGTCAATAAAATTATTTCATTTTGTTTCTCCTATTATTTCTAATCGAACCTATATTTAGATTCTCTATGGGGAACTTCATCTACCAGTACAACGTACACCACATGGCCGTATATGTCTGAAGAAATCCTATTTAAAGGTGCTCGCTGATAAACACCCTTTACCAAAATTAATAACAGAATATCGACAAGTTCAAAGTGCTCTTGATCGATGTATTGATCGTTTTGAACAGGTATTTCAACTTTTCAAATTTATATCTTCAGCCTTTTTCTCAATTCAAGTGTGTTAATGAACCAAATAAACCGCAATCACTACAACGTTTGAGACGAGAAGCTGCATGGCAGGCTGAGCGTACTTATGCTTTTTGTCACTTTTTAACCTCTACTGGACGTATGATGATCACTAATCCACCATTACAACATGTTCCAAAGCGTTTTTCTATTCAATCATTACACAAGGAATCGATTGTTGGATTGAGAAAAATGATTGTTGCTCGACCAGGTAATGATAAATGAAAAATATCGCACAAAAGCAAGAGAACTTCTTTGATGGCCATCAATGACATGCTGTATTGATGAATTAATCTATCAAATTGCTTTCAGATTTGAGTCGAAATATTTTAGAATTTTGGTACCATAATCTTCGCAGAAAATATTCATCAGCGTACATACGTATGATAAGTTTTCTCATGAATATGACTTATTATTACCTTGAAACTCAACGATTAAGAAAATTTAAAAGGCTATTAGGCATCTGCCAAGGTAGATTTTTGAATTGATATTATTTCAGCAAATTCTTTTACAAATATATATTCAGAGGTTAGTTGCTGTGATCAATATAATTTTAAATTTTCCTTATGAGCTAGAACCTGAAGAAAAACAATGCGAAGCAATACACCTGACGAGAGAACCAGTGAGATTAGATAACGCGAAAAATGATTTTTCTTCACGGACATTACTTATGTAGCGTTTTCGATGTGAATGAGCTATTGTAGCAGTGCCAGATTTTATAGTATATCTTTCTTTTTTCGATATATTTAAAATTATCACACTTGGATTAGAATTTTATGTTGAAATACTTCCTGAAACAATTGTGAATCAAAAAGAATCACGGATAGACATGAATCCTGTAAGTGCGCATCTATATTGACTAGAGCCAATCTAATAATGAGAAGGAATTATCTGGAAAAAAAAATGTATTATTTACCAATTTCAGTCCACTGGTTATATCAAAAATGTCTACTAACGAGGGAGGGTCACCAAGTGTTCAGTCGCTTTTGCGTTGAAACTACTTACATTATGTAGCTTCCGATGAGTTATGAATACATTAAAAATATTTTGGGCGGATAGCTTATTGTGACGAAACTAGGCCATTTCTAAGGTATGAGCCTTTTTGAGTGCCTGGGCCCCCCTCCCCCACAGGGACATTAAAAAAATTGATGTCCGAATTTTGACTTGAACCTTTTCATAGAAAGACTCGCTAAGGAGAACAACTTCTTGTGAACGTTTCAGACCTTTCTACTATTCCTATCGTTAGACACGGGTATTGTGAAATTTTTATTGTATATCTTTTAAATGAAGTAGCAGATTTAATGAAACAAATAAATTCAATGATCAAAAGCATTCAAAACACTACTCTCGTTGAGATGTATTGCTACATAAAATTTCAAGTGAAATTTTGAAAATCAATTTTCGAATGCCCCTGAAGGGGGGAGACTACGGCAATAATTAAAAAATACAATAGAAATGGCCTATTTTTGTAACCTTAAACTATCGGCCCAAAATATTTTTAGCGTATTCATAGCTCCTTGGGAGCTACATAATCTAAGTAGTTTCAACGCAAAAGTGATTGAACAGTTGGTGGTCCCCTCGTAAGTGCTGAATTGATATTCTTCTTCTTATGCATAAATCGCATTTCGAAGTTTTTCCTCAATGAAATATCTTTCTAGGTTTTCAACTCGTTTCTTTTGATTATTCTCAATTGGAATTACGTATTCTTGCTCATCTATCCAATGACGATAAATTAAAAGCACGTTTAATAATTGATACTGACTTTTTCATATCGCTTGCTGCTGATCTTTTAAAAAAGCCAGAACATGAAATCACTCATGAACAAAGACAAAATGCTAAACAAGTATAACTCTTTATTTTGCTATTTATCTTTCTATTTTCTTTTATTGTCAAGATATGTTATGGTATTCTCTATGGAATGTCAAACGAAACATTTGCTCGTGAAACCCAAATGAATATAATTGAAGCCGAACAATTCGTTGAAAATTTCTATAAAACATTTCCAACGATGGCTCAGTATCTCGTTGATTTGAAACGACATGTTCTCGAAAACGGTTATGTACAAAGTATTCATGGACGTCCATTATATTTTGATTTAACCCATACGATATCGAATGAAATACTGAAAGCTCGAGTAAGAAGAATGCAAATTTTCTAAATAGGAGTTTTATTTTCTTTTGAAAAAGATGGAACGACAAGCAATAAATTTTGTTGTTCAAGCATCTGCTTGTGATATAATGAAAGTGGCCATGGAACGCATAAATCAAATATTAGATCGAATGTTTCCTTTTGATTTAAAAAGTAAACTTAGAGGAAATTTCTTCATATAAAAGGATGATTTTTATCTGTTTGTTTAGTCCGTCCAACATCTATCCGACCAGTTTATCTTGTTTTACAGATTCACGATGAATTACTTTTCGAAATTGAAAAAAATTCACGTACAAATGAAATTCTTAATATAATTCGTCATGCAATGGAAATAAATGATCATATTAATTTATCATTACCAGTACAAATTAAATCGGGTGACAATTGGGAATCAATGGTATCCATTGTATAAAGAAATGGATATTTTTGTAAAAAAAAGAACACAACAATTCTGTTTTCTAGAGAGTTTTCTGAGCATGCTCGAAAATATGATTCAATATTAAGTTTATCCGTTGAAGAAATAAAGATTTTTTTTATAGAAATATATTTAGAAAATCAAGTATTTTATGAAAACTAATGACACAAAAATGAACATCAAGCAGTGGTTACTCATATAGAATGAGTACACGAAGTTTATTGCAGAGTAAAATATAAATTCTATCAAGAGTTATTATATAGAAATAATGTAAGAATCTTGATTGTTTACGGAAAAATCTAATGAGCAGAGTGAATTTATTAGAGTTCTTTTTCATGCAGTCGTGTAGCTCATCGATATATTTAGTTTTTAATTTCTCTACGAGATTATTTCATAGCCATCAATTTTTTGAAAATATTCTTACATAATTCGCTAAATTACGAAAAACGTCTATTTGAAAACAAAGTGCTTCTTCCGAAAACATAAAGTCTAGAAATTATTGAAGCTTCTCATGATAACTACTGTACTTTGTACCTGTAACCAAACATCGATTGAAGGTGAAACCGAAAAACTTTTTTTTTCGTCTCGTATGAATCACCCTCATTTATTAGTTAACAATCTATTTTGAAAAGTTCAATCGAACAAGAATGTTGAAACAGGATTGTAAACATTCAAGGATCACGACAGACTACATTGTTGTTTGCATCTCTGTGAAATATAGACACTTTTCTGTTGTTGTATTTTCGGTGACTTACGTGAGAAAACATGTCTCAGAGTTGGCAAAATACTTTTTTTTCCTAATTATTATCATTAGTTGTTAGATTGCCTTTTTTTTTATTCAATCCCCATTAAAGTTGTACTAGAAAAATTTCTATTACCTCTACTATTTATTTAAATCAATCATTCAATTCAGAAAAGTAAAAAATAAATTTTATTAGTCCTGGATTTTATGAAATTTTATTCTAAATTATTCGCCACTAAAACAGTAGGTTTAGTAACTACATTCAATCTATTTCCATTAAAATGATTATTAGTGATAGTAACGCGATCGGCCCCATCCAACACTGTTACCGCATTTCCAACATTATCGCCAAAATAATTATTATTAATCATAGCTCGTCCACGTTGAATTTCAATTCCGGGCGATGTTTTATTCCATTGAGCAAACAATGAGTCACTGATTGAAATTAAACCTACATGTGACCAAACAATTGTTTGATGAAAAACACCCCAAAACGATGCACCACGTACAACTACAGATGCATCTGTTGGTTTCGTACTATTAATTGCGCGTCCTAATATTCCAATACGATTTGAGCCACCGCCGGCATTAGCTAGATTTAAATTCGAAAATAAAATGCCCCATGTTTGAGTATATGACACCTCAATACCAATATCAACATTATCAAAATTGATATCTGTAAATTGTCCATTGCAAGCTCCATAGGCGCTCGTACGAAAAGCCATGCCAATTTGATAGCCCCAACTAAATACATCTTCAACGACTTCCCAATCAGTTCTTTGAAATAAAAATGTTATTCCATTATTATTAACCCAATTCCATAATTCTGGCTCACTTGACCAAAATGGCCAGAAATGTATATGACTGATTCTTCCAATATCATAACATTGATCAACAGCTATGCCAATTGCTAATGGTTGCCCATAAACATTTTCAAACCAATGACGAGGCGCTTCATATGTTGCGGCGTCAATACCTTTCCAAGGATTAACTAATAGAACATTTTTAACATAATTATTTTCAATACTCTTTCCTTGTTGTCCACATCGTATTGTCCATGGATAAGCTATGGGTGGATTTCTTGGTACTTGGTTTGGATAAAATATTTGTAGGCCTTCAATACCACTACTATCGCCCGATAAAGAAATAAAAGCTGTTCCATTTTCATTTCCGGCATCGGCAATCGCTAAAAGTGTTGTTCCAAAAACAGATTTTCTATTTGGATCACCCCAATTTCTTTGAACGTGCGATGCAACACCCTTTAATACAGTAGCAGCGGGTAATGTCAAATGACTAGCAATTAAATAATTGCCTTCGGGTATGAAGACAATACCGCCACCCATACTACCAGTATCATTCAAAGCTCGTTGAATAGCATTTGTATCATCGGTAATACCATCACCTGTTGCATTGTAGGGAGGTAAACGAACATTAATAAAACCTGAAGTCGGATCACCGTTCATCACCATTAATTTAGCGTTAGGATGCTGGTATTGATAAGAACCAACACACATCATACTTAATGATGTCATCAGCATGAAAAATAAGAAAGAAGCCATTTCTAATGATATTTTGATAGAATTAAAACCAATGTAAAGTCGGTGTGACTTGTCTTCTTCAAAATAAAAACAAAAGAATTTATTTCTTACTTCTGTCTATAAGCCGAATAGTTTCTAATAAGAAAACATTCTCCATTTTCAGTGAGATTGATTAATTTTATAGGATTTAGATTAAAAAAACTTAAATTGTAATAAACCACACGTGAATACTTACATCGTTCTACAAACTGACCAGTATAGAATTTTTTTTTAAATGTTGTGCATATTGACACGAATAATCTTTTCATTTTACACACGATAAAAAAATATAAGACTCATATCATCGTTATCATTTCATAAATATACATGTTGTCTCTTTGAAATTCTTAATTTAGATAAATTTTGTTAAGGTTCTTTCAAGCCAATGATGAATCACCTGCACATCATTCATTTTCCTCATAGCTAAAACAGACACACAAAAGGAAAAGAACAGATGAATAGGTGAAATCATACGATAATTGTTAAGTAATAATTCGTCCGCTTAAATCATACCGATGATTCCTATGGACGCATTTATATCGTCAAAGTATGTTTATTCGGCTCAAAGTTCACGAAACGATTATTACCTATTAAAATACACAATAAATAGCAATGCACTTGCCTATTAAAACACTCGACGAAATATAACCCTGAAACAGATTTCATTTATTATCTTTTCATAGTAAAAACGAAAGGCATTCGTAATTCATAATTTTATTGTCTGAAGATGAAAAAAAACAATAAAAGGAAACGAAATGGCATATGTTTGTTAACAAATACGATAAGAAAAAAATTCGAGAGTTAGGTTCTTGGTGTGTAGAGATGTACGTATATAGATTATTGGTGTGTGGTTGCTTCTTTTACATCCTCGTACGATAAATATAAGAGAAAAAAAATAATACGACTCGGAAAAAGAATCTAACTAATAGAAAAGAAAATTAGTATGAAAGTTAGTAGCATCACAAGGATCCAGTTTAGTGTATTTATGTTAAGTATCGACAATAGAGTCATCTTTGTGTTAATTATGTGTGTTGAAATAATTGTATTAACCACTTGGATTAGCAGAAGTAGCGGCATTTGTTGAAGTCGTTGTAGTTGTTGTTGACGAAGTCTCGGTGGTTAGACGGTTAAATACTATGAAACGAGAAAGAAAAACAAAATAAATGACTATGAAATAAATTAGGCATCAAATAGTATTACCGCTTGAGGAGCCAATACTTGCAATTGTGAAACTACAGGTTCGAGGGCCAAAGAAAAAGAATGACACCGAGAAGCTTACTCCCTTCCATTTTGCAAGATTTGATCTTTTACGACAACGTGGGCATCTGAGCAAGTTAATGACAATTTTTATAAAGAGAAGCGCTCCACCCTGACGACGAGTGCGACTCATTGGCCTGCAGTACCAAAGAAGCAAAATTGAGAAAAATTTCATTTATTTATAAACATACCAAGCTCGTCGACGTCTGCCTGGTGTCGTAGCAAATGTGCATTGACTTGGAGTCAGTGAGCCTGGTGAACCAACTGCACTACTCATCTAAAAGAAGCATCGATTGATTGTTAGTGGGAATCTTAATAATTCATTGTCTTACTGCGTCTGCGATAGTAGCACAGTCAGCTGCTGATGTATCACCTAAGGCTGGAACGCTTGGTGATGGATTTAAAGTTAGATATTGTGTCGAAGTGGTGCTAAGATCTTCAACAGAGAATTATTCTCATAAAGTCATCGGCATGTGATATTAGACTAGATCATTTTCTTAAATATATATCTACTTACTTGATAAATCTTTAGTTCCCAAATAGATTGGAATAAGAGCCAAGACGATGGTCGAGGCAAGCAACAAGAGTAATAAGCCAATACAACATACTGAAACCAATGGTAAAGTGCTGGCACCAATAATTCCACTATGAAAATCAACAATTTGGTTTTTGAAAAATATCGATAAGCTTAAAACAATTGAATTTTACCCTTTAGAGCCTTTATCAACAGGCGCAGTTAACGATGTTGAAGACATTGCTATCCTTGATGTGTATAGGCTACGTTGTCGTTAATTGAGGCAAGTATGAAGCAAAGCATTGCATTTATCCTCGGATATATAGTCTTGTTTTTTTTCGACTCCCACTTGTTTTCTCTGTCCTTATTTTCATAGGAAGAAAAAGAAATTTCTCATGTTCAGCATTCCTTTGTCTAACTAGACAAATGTGATTGCTATTTTGCATAACGACGAAGGACAACCTACCTAATTACCTTGATGATTTGCCTGCCAACAATAAAAAAAGTATTATTACTTTTCGACCCATAAATCATGACAATGCTGACAAAATGATTGGATTGGTAGCTACGATGATTCATGCGTTTGATACAGATACACAGATAGGCAATAAAAAAAAACAAAGATAAAAACTAAAAGCCTATCGAGAAGGATCGTGCCTGATCAAGCAAAACGTAGAGTTAAATGAAAAAAATTGATAAATAAAACAGACATATGCTTGTAAGATTTATCGGGGGATTTTTGTCACGGATATAAAAAAAGCAAATGAAAAGCCTGACAATTCATATATATGAATGAGTAGCTATTACATTTATCACAATCTCTATCTCTTGCGAAAGTTTTGATAGTTTATGTAAGCAAGAAAAATATTTGAGAAGCATGATACATTTACTAATTGTATTGTGTATAACAGATTCAATTCCCTTTGGAACAAGAATAAAAACTTCAATCAAATATACTGTAAGACCGTGAAGTGTAAGTAGGTGAGATAATTATTGCAAATATTGATTTCTTTTTAATGCTCCACTTTTTTCTCATTTTGACCTATATTATAATGATATCGCGAAACTCAAACACCAGTCATCAGTAACAGGGTAGTCAAATTTTCTGTAGTGTAAGGAGAATTTTTTCTGATTGTACTTTAGATTTTTTGAATTCTCATGTCAATGTACTTGCAGCGGAAGGCCACCGACTGTTCAACCGCTTTTGCGTTGAAACTATTTGCATTATGTAGCTCCCGGATACGCTGAAAATATTTTGGGTGGATAGTTTGTTGGCACGAAAATAGTCCATTTGTAAGGTATGGTTTTTAGTGAGTACCTGAACTCCCCCTCAGGAACCTTGAAAGAAATTGATTTTCGAATTTCAACTTGAAAATTTGCATAGAAATATACCTTAACGAGAATAGTGTTTCGTGACCATTTCAGGCCATTCTACTTTTCCTATCATTACACACAGCTATTGTGAAATTTTTATTTTACATCTTTTAAATAAGGTAGCAGATTTGACGAAACAAACAAATTCAATGACCAAAAACATTCACAAAACATTATTCTTGTTGAGGTGTATTTCTATGTAAAATTTCAAGTCGAAATTCGAAAATCAATTTTTTTCAAGGTTCCTGTGGGGGAGTTCAGGTACTCACTAAAAACCATACCTTACAAATGGACTTTTTTCATAGCAGCAAGCTATCTGCCCAAAATATTTTCAGCGTATCGATAACTTCTCGGGAGCTACATAATGTAAATAGCTCCAACGCAAAAGGTATTGAACAGTCGGTGACCCTCCCTCATTAGTAATATGAAATATGATTAAAAACCATTATTATAACAAATAAATATCACGTTCTCTTTTTCTATCGGTTTTATAAATAATATCTGTGTTCAAAATAATTTTTCTGACACAAATTAAAATGCATTTGCAAACTTGTTTTTATATAGAAATAGCATAATGAATAGGTATAAAAGTTCGAGGAGCACTTTTATCAGTGCTCAGATTAAAAATAATAATGAATGTAAATTATTTTTCGCCAAGCAATTTTGTCAGTATATTCCAACTAAAATATATTTGTTACAGTGAATTACAAAAAAAAGAACTAGAAAATATGAGCGAGGATATTGAATTAATACAATCGTTTTTTTTAATGAAATAAATTTCAGATGAAAAACCCAGTTGAGCGTCTGCTATCGTCTTTCAAAAATTTTTATTTTTCACTTTTAAACATTTTAAACTCAAAGTTTTTGATCTAGGAACTCTTGTCGATTAATATGTTACATTAAAGTGATTCAAACAAACCAAATTTCGAATTACTCTTGATGACCAATAACGTTTGAAATATTATTGATAGATTTCTGATAATTTCGAATTAAATGAGCATGCTGCTTATCTATGAAAATCCATTTAATATAAGACACATTATTCTTTTGATTCGTGCCTTTCTATTCATTGTGATTACTGGGCAAAGAGATACGTAAAAACCCTACACAGTATTCGTATTTTATCATGCTAGATCGTTTATTTAGATTATCACTTTCTATCTTATGTATCATGCTTCAATAGCCTTTCTTTTTTTATATCATTCATGTTAGTTTGTTTCATTATCTGTCAATAATTTACCAATAATATATCGATGTGAATGGTGTACTGATGAAGTTTCATTAAAAGGAACATTATTTTTGTGAGAAAGAAAAAAACATTTAATCATCAATACTAAAAAAAACTGTTTGACTCGTTAACAAATTCTGCGTTTATAAATCGTATTTTGTCTGCTAATAAAATACTAATTTATTAGTAGATTTTATGAAACATTTTTCGATGGTATTGACACACAAAAATTCTCGTTCATTCAGATCAATATTTTTTTATACAGCTAGATACAAAAAGACAAGTCATTGCTTTTGTTATTTTTATAATAGAACACCTGTCATATCTAAAATATAAATGAAAGTGCTTATGAATAGGTATTCTGGGTATAAGGCCACAGCATGTTTGGTTAGACATGATACGTCTCAATGAACACCTTATATTTTTCCTCTTGCCTTTCTAAATTTTTTTTACTTTAACTATAGTTAAGCCGCTTGATGGATATAGGCATTACCACAGTTATTGTCAAATCATCTATTTCAATAATTACCAGGGTTTCGCTTTGTCAACATCAAGGCTTTGCAAATGTTTGTATGTTATTGATCAGAAGGCTTTGATTCATACGTCTCACATTGATCAAATTATGTTTCATGAAAATATTCTTGTAAACAAACACAAAAGCTCTACACTTCAAAGTCCAAAAGTAAAAGAGAAAAAATTCAAGAAAATAATCGATTTCACCGTTTTATCAGCGCAAAAATAAAATGTCCCATTACCTTAAGGATAGGAATATCTTTAACATTTTTCTAAATTCTTGTTGATAAAAATTTTGAATTCTTTTAAAATGTTTCAAAACTGAAATTCTATACTACTCGTGTTCATTTGTTTATTTTTAGTAATCTAATTCTCGTGATAAATCCTACAATTGCCTTGATTCTCACTTCAATCTATATGCAGAGTGAAACAACCTATATTCATATTAACAAACGTAAACATATATTCAAGAAATATCTGATAAAAGTTCACAAAATATGAGTATATTTTCATGAGAATCACCCATGTAAAAAAATATCGAAAAAAATCAGCTTTAGAGAGATCAAAATCAATGACAAATCGATTATAATCATACGATTTTAATCAATAATTTTAGCTGTAATCACCATAGAAAAATCAGTAGTCAATCGATTATTGCCATTTTTATGATTATAATTAATTAAGATATTTTTAACAATTGATTATAATCATAAAAATGAAAACAATCGATTAACTACTGATTTTGCTATGATTATAATCGATTTCGACCTCTCTAAAACTGATTTTTTTACATGGGCACTCTCTGTTGAAAACTTTAGCAGTAGTACAACAAACTACTTTACCTTAAATCTACCGTAAAGCTATTCGGCCCGTGGTACAATATCAGCATTAATATTAAATGCTGTTGCATGCTCGCTAACACAATTAACTGTTGCCATTTCATGAAAAAAATAGATCGTTATCGTAAAAATTATATAGATGAATACATGAATGTCACAGATGTATTGCATCTCAATTCTATTTGTTTCACGTTCTAGATCAACCAGTTGCAGTCATCACCAGGGTATTATAATAGCACGACTGGATATTCAACTGATAGTTAATGATTGTGCATACCCACGTTTTTTATTCAGAAGTGTTTATTAATCAATAGATTTGAACGAACACTCACTAAAGTTGGTAAATGTATCAAAATATTTATGATAGGAAACATGGAAAAGAATGTTTCATCGTACATTCGTTGATTTTGTTTTTCATTCTATAGAATTCAATGGTTTAACTTAATAGACTATAACTGTTAAAACGTGTGACTGTGACTTATATTCATTTCAAATAAAAAGAAGAACGAATATTATTCGAATAGCTTTGGTCGAAATATTGGACCTTGTAAAAACCTGAAAGAAAGAAATTTCGATCTGAAATTTTCCTTGTAATCAGTTTATATGATGCTTAAATTTTCAGAAAAAACAGATGCATTGCTATTGAGATATTGGTTGCAAAAAAAATAGCAAAATTCGGCTTTTCTTCAACATGCCATATCTCCAGAAGTTGGTGAAAATTTCAGGGCAACCTAAATAGCATATCAGCTATATATGAACGAAACTGCAAGTCGAAATTCTTATGTTTCGATTTATTCGTGAGGAGAAATATCTCATACACGGAATATATTGCTTATGATGGCATGTTGCGTTAGTGGAATAATTTATAATTCACGGATTGACTTCATGAGATATATCAACACTACGTTTAACAATACCGCTTAAAAAACCAAAGCCGTACATCGATTATATGAATAAGAAACGCTCCTTGATATTTAAAAAAATCACGAGTCTTCACAGCGTCCTTCTTCGGCCTATGAGTCACTTGATAATTATATTTTTATCTCTTCATAATCAAGAATATCATGTTAGTTCAGAAAAATGTTAGGTTTTGCACAAAATTCTTATAGTAGATTTTATTGAAGTTATACTATGTCCCGTGGAAGGGGGACATCTGGCTCTTAAGGGCTAACTGGCGTTTACTTCTTTAACTCTTAATTAAATTTTAAATAAAATGAAAAATAGTATGACTGTATTCTGGTGAGTTTTGATGGAAAAACTTATTATTATTGCTTTTGATGGGTTTTA